TTCAAGCTGCCTACAAGCAGCTCGCACTGCACCCTAGCGAGAGGCCGAAATCCGTTATCCTGCTCAGGGAGCCGGGCTCCCGCGCCGTCAAGGCCTTTGTGTGCAACACTCTTCCTTTCGGAGCTTCAGCCTCGGTCATGCAGTTTAACAGGGTTGCATTATTCCTGCAGAGGGTTCTTTGGGATTTGAGGGTGGCCGTAACTTGCTACTATGACGATTTCCCGACGATGACCCCTTCGTTCTTGTCTGGCGGGACTGACAATGCAGTTCATGCCCTCATGGACCTGTTTGGCTTCTCCTTGTCCGAGAAAGAAAAGCCGTTCTCGTGCACTGCAGAAACGCTGGGTGTCGTGCTGGATACCTCCGATCCTGACATGGGCCGCATCTTCGTATCGAACAAGCCCGAACGAGCTGCCATGCTTGAACAGTCCTTGGGCCGCATCCTTGAAAAGGGCCAGGTAGACACGCGGGAGCTGCCATCCCTTCTTGGAAAGCTTCGCTTCGCAGATGCTCAGCTGCTTGGTCGCACAGGGCGATTGGCCCTGGCCGACCTCAGGCTCTTCGGTGACAGAGGGGGTGTCTTGAACCTTACGGATACTCAATCTAATGCCTTGGCTGTTCTGAGGGCAAGACTTCTTGCGAGCAGGCCGCGTGCCATTGTGACGAGCCCTGCCTCGAACCCAGTCCTCATCTTCACAGATGGCGCATGCGACCCTTGCGAGGGCGGCTTCAGTACTGGTGTCGGTGGGGTTCTCTTTGTCCCCGGCGAGGGTGTTGCTAGGGCTTTCGGTTGTAGGGTTCCTAGCAAGCTCGTCAAGCAATGGGCCGAGGGTAGGAAACACATTATAGGGCAGGTCGAGCTTTACGCGGTCGTGCTTGCCAGGATCCTGTGGTCGAGTTACATTGATGGCGAACGATGCATATTTTTCGTCGACCATTCCGGCGTCTTGAGTGCTTGCATCAACTCGAACTCGATCGATGCATCTTGGAGGAGTCTCCTTCTTCACTTGGAGGCCGCCGATGAAGCACGCCCGTGCCTGCCGTGGTTTCATCGTGTACCGAGCCAGAGCAACATCGCGGATCCGCCATCCCGAGGCAGATGGGAGGAGCTGGCATTCCTTGGTCCCGTCACTCGTGACGTGCCGACTTGCTTTGTCACAGGCGCCACTCTTGAAGCAACGTAACGCATAGTCGAGAGGGGGAAGAATATGGTCACGTTGCACTCCATCGTGCGACTGGACTCTGGGGGGGCACTCGTGTGCCTCTGCTTAAGTGGAGGGGCACTCTTAGTGCCCGGTGCACGCCCTGTGCACCTTCGTTTTCCTTGAAAACTTCCCACGACTCTCGGCTGTGCCGTGAAAAGAAGAGTGAGCGTCTTTGCATCAATTTCATATCCTTTTGTATATATTTGGGTCAGACCAATATATTTGGTCAACAATTCTTTATATGATGGAATCTGCAATATTTGATCAAGACTCTTATACTTGATTCAAATATGTGATTGTCATGGATGACCGGATCTATAAGCATCACTTCACGCGTGCGTGTCGATGTTTTATAGATCCTAGGTCAAACGAAATTTTGTAAGCAACAAAATTTTGGGCCATGACAATCTTTGCGCTACTCTTAGTAGTGCTTCACAATCCAGACTTTTAACAACTTTCAATGCTGTTGCATGATTTCGTTTCTCATGTCGAGTAACGATTTTTAAACCATGCGGTTAAACGGACACTTGTTCATGATTGAATCTGCAATCATCGAGGCTGTCTCGAGATCGAGCCAGAATTTTTGATCCCACCCAACCCGCCCTGGGGGAAGAATATGGTCACGTTGCACTCCATCGTGCGACTGGACTCTGGGGGGCACTCGTGTGCCTCTGCTTAAGTGGAGGGGCACTCTTAGTGCCCGGTGCACGCCCTGTGCACCTTCGTTTTCCTTGAAAACTTCCCACGACTCTCGGCTGTGCCGTGAAAAGAAGAGTGAGCGTCTTTGCATCAATTTCATATCCTTTTGTATATATTTGGGTCAGACCAATATATTTGGTCAACAATTCTTTATATGATGGAATCTGCAATATTTGATCAAGACTCTTATACTTGATTCAAATATGTGATTGTCATGGATGACCGGATCTATAATCTCATTTTATTTTTTTCGCGAAATCCCCATTAGCGATTTCGTGTGTCTTCTTCTCTTTTGCTTGTACTTGCGGTTAGTTTGTGATTTCTATCATTGTAGTTTGCTTCCAGTAATTTTATTCGCAAAACCCCCACAAAGCGATCTGTGTGGCTTCTTCTCCTTTTGTTTGGTGATTGTTAGTGTTCTGTTCGAACCCGTTCGAACTCTGGAGGGGAGTTTAAGAACCCTGGGAGTTCGAACTCCGTTCGAACTCTAGGGGGAAGTATCCGAGGTTGGGCGGTTCATTTGTTCGCGCCTTTAGCGTTCTCGTAGGAGACTTGAAGCTTCCTTGAGAAGAAAGACTCTTCGTCATTGACAATCTTTTTCTTTGTTTTGTCTTTCTTTGATTTCTTCGCAAAAACCACCACAAAGCGGTTTCGTGTGGCTTCTTCTTCTTTTATGGCAGGGACTGGTCATTGGTAGTCTTTTTCTTTTGTTTTCGGCAAGCTTCTAAAACCAGCGGAGGGGTTGGAGGGGCGCTCCTCCCCAAACGTGGAGTTTCGAAACCCAGGGTTCGAACGCTCCGGAGAGAAATTCCAGAACCCGGGTTCCAACATAGAGTTCCACAAACCCCGGGTTCCAACACAGAGTTTCCGAACCCAGGGTTCGAACTCTCTGGGGACGGAGGGGAAGTTCCGGAACCCGGGGTTCCGGTATAGAGTTCCCAAACCCCAGGTTCGAACATAGAGTTCCGAACCCAGAGTTCGAAATTTCTGGAAGAGGGAAGGAGTTCCCGAACCCGGTTCGAACCTGGAGTTCTCCAAACCCCGGGTTCGAACATAGAGTTCCCGAACCCAGGGTTCGAACATAGAGTTTCCGAACTCCGGGTTCGAACATAGAGTTCCCGAGAGTTTGAACATAGAGTTCAAACTCCAGGTTCAACTTGGATTCGAGAAGTTCGAACCCAGGGTTCAACCCTGAGTTCCGAAGTTATATGTTCTCCCTCTCCCCCCCCCCAACCCCCCGGAAGTTCGAACCCTGGGTTCCGGAACACTCCAAAAACCTATGCTCCGCACAAAAAGGGCAGTGAATTCAGCTGTTTGTCTCCAAGCAAAACACTTCCAAGGTTCCAAAACCCAGGTTTCAACCCAGGTTCAATCTAGGTTTCAACCCAGGTTCAAATCTGGGTTGACTACGTCTTCGAAATAGCTCTGTTGAAACCTGGGTTTTGAAACCCAGGTTCCGACGCTTGCTGCTGGCTGAGGTCGATGGCAAAAGGCTTGGGGCTGCAATTCAGGCGCAACAGACTCAACCGGAGCGACAAAGGATTCAGGTTCTTCCAAAGTTTCCTCTGGACCCCAAAGCTTTCGGAAACTTGCCTTGTGTTCTAAGCGACCTTTGTGGAGATTCTGCTAAAGACAGCCCCCAGCAGAGCTCCAAATCAACCAGGCAGACGAGCTTGGCTGTGGGCTCCTCTTCGCTGTTGAGTGGCCTCAGATCTGCCAGTACTGGAACACACGTGAAAAGACTCTCAGCAGCCTGAGCAGCAAGTTTAACGTCTCTTGAGCTGGCAAAACCTTACACCTCTTTTCCAGCTGCCCGGGGCGCAATGCCCGTTTGGAGACGTATCGAGTGTGCATCAATTACATCAACCGCCTGACGGCATCCTCAACCGCTTCTTCAAAGCAAACTCCAAGAGGGGGTAAAGGATTTCGACACCATGTTGAGCATGGTTGGATGGAGTTCGCTTGCCGCCTTACTTGAGTTTTTGCTTGTTTTGTTTTGCACAAGTGTTGACACCAAAGCAATCGCAGCAGGAGAGTTTCAAGCGCATGTTGCATGATTTGACTTCGCATGAATTTGTTTTCATGAGTGACTGAAGTGCTCTGAAGTGCAGTGGTGCGTTTGAGACGTGCTTGACTGCTCAAGTGAAGCCTTGAAGTTCGCCACTCAGAGTTTCGAGCTGAGCTTTGCTTCGCAGCCTTAGTGTTTGTGCAGGTCAAGCTTGTGACTGACCGCGAACTGTCTTGGCTCAAGGCGGAGCGAAAAAGAAGTCCGAGTGTGTGCAGCGCTTCGCTTTCTGCTCGTTTTTGTGAGAGTGAAGTCCAGCTTGGTCGGCTAGAGTGACTGGGAGCAAACTTCGTGAGTGCTTGGTGTTTGTGAACCCCAAGAGCTTGGTCGTGAAGGTTTCGAAGTTTTCCGCTTCTCGATGGTAAGGTGGCAGGACGACGCTCTTCTGGAAGTGAGGCGGAGGTGGCAACAGCCTCGAAGCCGCTGTGGCCAAGCAAATTTGAAGATGCCTTTCACTGACCTCGACTTTGCATCTCGAGCACTGCTGCTGTCCAAAGTAGCGAAGGACAGCGTAGATGCCAGGTGCAGCTTGCGGTGCACGCCTATGTCGCGCCGGATCGTACCCAGTGAAGACCGCGGGAGTCCATGCGATGCGGACGCCATCATCTCCAACCTTGGTGAAAGCGTCTTGCGCTCCTTTCGGAATCCTGGCACAGAGAGCCAGGCCGCTGGAGCGCGCGACGCACTTCTACAGGGAGGCCGGCAAGGGTCGCCGCAAGCGTCTGCGAGGAGGTGGTCGCCAACGGCCTTCCTTTGGCACGAACTCAAATCGCAAACTGTTCGTTTGTAACCTAGTGCACGTAGTCCCAAGTAGAGTGTGTAAAGTAATCACAGGAACACATGAAACATGTGTGTGAACCACGACACGGAGGCTTAAGCAAGTCAGCCCGCGAAGTGAGAAAAGTGTGTTTGCGAGTAGAGTGGGAAGGAAGGCTTGAGAAGCCTTTAGTTTCAACATGGTAGCGGAGCTCCCTGATTCAGACCTCTTGGGAGCGATGAAGCTATCACAAGAACAACAGGTAGCTGTCGCCATGGTTTCCTTGGCTTTGGCTTTTTCGCTGATGTGTCTGGCGAGAAGCTTTGTGAAAGAACTTGTGAGAAAGGAGACGGTGGAGCGCGTTGCTCCGGCTGAGGAAGAGCTACCTACCAGAACTCTGGTACTCGCCTTACGGAGAGAAGACCCACGTTTCAGGAAGATGTCATGGCCTCAGGAACGCAACCAGTGTACACCGAGTACTACCATGCAAGTATTGCTGCCGGACTTCGATCCCGGGAACAACGCACCTTCGAGTACAAGAGAACCTTTTTGGAAGCAGCAGGAAAGTACCTTTGGCTAAAAGTCTTCATGGTTGTGGTTCTCATGGGCATGTCATGGTTCATGGTGTTTGAAGTGAACGAGACCTACGGCTACCCGTTGGCCGCGAACCGCATGTTGAACCACAGGAACAAGGTCCTCAGCCTCGACAACAAGAACCCCAAGAAGAAGCATGTGATAAAGGAGATTACCCCAGCGGATGTTGTACCTGCCGGGAAGAGCCAAGAAGGTGATCACACAGAACTTTTCACGTTGTGGTCGCATCTACATGAGCCCAATACCAAACCGAGAACGAGAACGAGATCAACGTCACGAGCTACCTCAAGAAGACGAACGCGTACTCCGAGTTCTACAAGAACAGAAGAAAAAGAACAAAGTTGCAACTACAGTTTTCATGAAGGTGATGTCGCGGAGTATAACGAGAACCTAAAGAACGAAGAAGTGCCCCACGTGAACTACTACAAGAACCTTGTGTTTGAGTTGGTTTTGGAGTTTCAAGAGTACCTTGCGAAAGCAGGAAGAAGCCTTGAGCCCGTCGTGAGCTACGTCGTGCGCACGTGTCACCCAGTACTACTTCTACTTGGGACCCCACTCGGTATGGTCACTTGGATCTACCTCTATTTTTGGGTCAGAGTTAAGCAAAGAAAAAGAGAACAGTTGAAGAAGAAGGTTTCGAGAAGGAAGTTGCACAGGTCAGTTTGCAGCGTTCTTTTCAAGAAGCGAGTTTGGTTGCATGTTGTGTTGCTTTACAGTCACATGCAGAGTGCAGTTGCAATGGAGGAAGCCTTGCAAAGGCTTACGGACCTCACTGCCCAAAACACACAGCAGATACAAGCACTTGCCCAAGCAATGAGCAGTCAGCAAGTACAGGCAGGTACCGCTTCACAACAACTACAGGAACTCGCGCAGTCAGTTTCACAACAGCAGAGAGCAATTACGGAAGCAACCCAAGCAACCAACACAGCATTGTCACAACAAGCAGAGCTTGCTGCAAACGCGGTTGCAGCAACAGGAAAGCTTACAGCAGACGCAGTTACAGCACTGTCGCAGCACGCAGAGTCAAGAAGGCCAGGAGAGATCGACCTCCACAAGATGATCAAATCTCCAGAAGTCTTTGGCCCTACTACATACAAGGAAGAGCGTGATGGTTTTCTAGAGTTTCGGTTGAAGCTGAGAAGTTGGATAGGCGCTCTCAACAACGACATCCTTGAGAAGATCAACGCAGTCGAGATGGATAGAAGAGAAGCATCATGGGAATGGAGCAAACTTAACCCAGGTGAACAAGCACTTTCAAGAAAGCTACATGCCATTCTCACCAGCTATACACGTGGCCGTCCTCTACGAACTCTAAAACAAGTGCCCAACGAGAACGGTTTCGAAGCATGGAGGTTGTTGGTGGAGGAACATCAGCCTCACAACCGTGCACGTTCTCTACAACTACTTAACGGAGTTCTTCACTACAGGTTCGACAAGCAAAGGTCAACACAAGAAAATATCCTAAAGTTCGAGGAGTTGATTGAAGAGTACGAGAGAGCGAGTGGAGACCTTGTTGCGGATGATATGAAGATTTCCATCATTCTTGGAGGAACCGAAGGGAACATGAGACAACATCTTCTACTCAACCAGAAAGAGACCACAAAGTACGGAACACTACGACAGTACCTCCTCTCCTACGAGCAAGCAGCAAGGTGGACTACCACAGACCTTATCAACTCAGGAAAGGACCACCAAGGACAAGCAGACATGGATGTTTCACGAGTGGAATGGTGGAAAGGCAAAGGAAAGGACAAAGGGAAAGGAAAGAAAGGAAAAGGATTTGGCAAGTACAAAGGCAAAGGCTTCGGCAAAGGAAAAGGAAAAGGAGAAAGCCAGTACTACTAACTACTACAAAGGTCGAGGAAAAGGAAAAGGACGAGGAAAAGGAAAAGGAAAAGACAGAGGCCGAGGATATGGCAAAGGCGGGGGAAAAGGCTACAGCAACAAAGGAAAAGGTAAAGGCTACAACAACCCAGGAATTGGTGTTTGCCATTACTGCCAAAAGCCTGGACACTACGAAGCCAATTGCAGACTCAAGCAGAGAGACATGCAGCAGAACGTCAGGAACGCACAGGAGGAAGACGAGCAAAGCGTCAGGACACAGCCTACTACAGTTCCAAGCAGTTGCGCTTCAGCAGCCACAACAACAAGAACTACAAGCGCGAAGTCTACAGCTAAGCCAACAGTTCGGCAGATCGCGATGTACCACATGGACGACGATCCCGTCACGTACCCTGAAGTTTTTGAACTTGATGAAGACGAAGAAGAGCTCGAGATTGAGTACTTTGGAAGAGTTTTGAGAGTGACGGAAGCGGAAGAGTTTGTTTTGTCAGAAGGAGAAGAGAGCGAAGAAGAGCAAGAGGATCCTCTACTAAACTGGTACCTTGGACGTGAAGCACTACCACCACAAGAAGTTCTCTCAGTACACGTTGTAGAGGAAGAGTTTTTCCAGGAAAGTGATCTTCACCAAAGAATCGAAGTTATCCTGGACTCTGGCGCAGACGTTTCTCTTGTGCCATCTTGGCTAGGAAGAGAAGGAACCCCTTTGAAGGTTCGCCCTTCGTCCATTCAGGACGCACAAGGAAAGGCAATAAAGACAGAAGGCAGAAGGATGCTGAACTTAACGTTCTTTGACGATGACGGAAGCTTTTGTCGCATTCAGGAAGCCTTCACCGTTGCCTCGGTGATCAACCCGCTGATGGCCATAGGCAAGCTGTTTCGAGAAGGTTGGGAGTTGCGAGTTAATGAAGAAGAAGGTATGTGCCTTACAGATGGAAGCTCAAGAATACCAGTGCATCTCCACAAGAACAGCTTGGCAGCCTACGCTTACGTACAAACTCCTTCAAGAAGCAGAAGTTACAGCAGCAACAACTACAAGATGGTTCGCACAGTTGTTCAGCTTAACAAGCACGTTCAGGAAGCAGTGAACAAAGAAGAACCTGGTTGGCGCAACACAGACAGCATGGTGATCGTGAAGTGTGCCACTCAAAGCAGCTATGAGAACCCATCTCTCATGTACAGCCCTACGCACTTTCCGTACAGAAGCACTTTGGTGAAAGAAGAGAGAGGATGGAGAGCAGTTGAAGTTTCAAGAAAGTACTCCGAGAAGGCAGACCCTTTTGAAGAGTTTGCTGAAGGAGAAAAGGAAGTGGTTACAGCCATTTCAGCAAAGCCAATTCCACTTTGGATCCTTGGCACTCCTTACGCTGCCGGAGATCGAGCAGACCAAGAAAGCCACGGTCGTGACTACTGGAAGATGGATCTTGAGAAAGGAGAAGTTGTTCGTCACCACGTAGTACCAAGAACTGTTTTGTTTGACCCGACAGGTGTTTCCAACTGTCCTGTCCTCCTTGGAGATCTCGAGAACAGCAGGTATACCCAAGGAGACAGCATCTACAGTACAGAAATCTACGAGCACAGTGACGACTGGAGAGCAGACCGTCTACCTCTACGTGAACACTTTCGTTTGCCGTGGTTTGGTCAAACAAGGTTTCGTGTGAAGCCAGAAGTTGTTGAAGACCTGAAGGCAGAAGCTGCAGCAGAGGAGCTAAAGCAGAAGAAAGAAGACCACTACAAAGAGAAGGAAGATTCAGCAGCACCACCAGAAGCAGAGGAAAGCAAAGACGAAGAGATGAGAGAAGCACAAGCAGACCAAGAAGCACCACAAGAAGTTGTTGAAGTTTTGGAGGAAAGCTTCTACCACGAAGGCGTCGAGTACACAGCACAAAGGAGCAGTCTTAAAGAACTACAAGCACTTTGCAGAGAGTACGGAGTTAAGACCACAGGAAGCAAGAAGCAGCTTTTGAAGAGACTAGCCACAGCAGTTAGAGAAGAAAGGCTCAGCACGCAACACAAGGAACAACGGGAACACCACCAAGCATACCACTTGGCACCACCACAGGAACCAACGGAAGAGGAGAGAGCGTACCACAACTTGACGCACCTTCCGTATCAGCCTTGGTGTCCCCATTGCGTTGCTATGAAAGCACGAGACACGAGAAGACAACCACAAGAAAGGATTGAGCAAGCCAAGCAGCTCTACGGATTCCGCGAAGCCCGTCATCAGTTTTGACTTTTGCTATACAAGCACCACAGGAAGTGAAGAGCCACCAGCAGTGACTCTTGTCGCTGTGGACAGCTGGAGCAAGGCAGTTCTTGCGGTGCCCTGCAAGAGGAAAGGAGGTGCAGGAAGCACGACGCACCTCGCGGAAGCACTCGTGCAGTTCACTACGCAGCTCGGGTACAACACCCTCGTTCTCAAAGCAGACAACGAGAACGCAGCCAAAGCACTCAAGGACAAAGTACAGAAGGTACGCAGCAGCCTTGGACATTCTACAACACTACAGGAAAGCATTCCTTACGACCACGAAAGCAATGGAGCCGCAGAAAGAGCACTACAAACAGTACGGAGGCAAGCGAACACCATTCTCGATGAACTCAGAGAAAGAACACAGCTGGCAGTACCGCACGAGCACGCAGTAGTAAGCTGGGCGTTTAGACACGCCTGCTGGCTACTCAACAGGTTCGCAGTGAGCAGCTCCGCAGGAAGAACGCCACAGGAAGTTATCCACGGATACCCCTACTCAGGGAAGCTTGTACCCTTTGGTACTGTTGTGATGGCGAAGAGGTTGAAGATTAAGAGAAAAGGCGACAGGATCTGGAACGCAGGAATATTTTTAGGCAAGACAGAGCAGGACACATGGATCGTTGCACAGCCTGACGGCATACATATCACACGCAGCGTGAGGCCACTACCAGAACAGTACGACTCCAAAAGAACAAGCAGCATAGAGGTCCATACCTGGAACCTCAACACACCACTCCTTGGAGCAAGAGTACTTCCAGAGAAGAAGCAGAGACAACGACCACAGCTAAGCATCCTGCCCCCTGTTGCTGAGGAAGAACGCGAACAGCTCGAGAACGACGAGGCCGCCAGCGACCCTCCGAGTTCGGAGGACAGCAGTGAAGAGCAGCAGCGAGCACTTGAAGACAGAGAGGAACAAAGCGAAGGCAGCAGCATGAGTGTGACGAGAGACAGAAAAAGAAGAGCTGAAGTTGATGACGACACCCTTTTGGAGGAACTCAGAGCAGCTGAACCACTTACAGCCTCAGCAGAAGCACTTTCAGCACCAGCTGAACCAAGAGCAGAAGCAAGCAAGCACAGCCTTGAGCCGGAGGAACCAAGCTCACCCAGCAAGCTACGAAAGCAGGTCAACAGAGCAGAGGAAACAGACGGTTACCTCAACATGCCTCATGATGATGAAGTCTACGAAGCAGATGATGAGTTTATGTACGAGTCGGAAGAAGAAGAAGAGGAGACAGAGAGTGAACCAAGGGAAGTTTCTACCAAGGTCCCTGTCGAGTTCTTCGATGAGGAGAAAGGACCACCGAACGTGGATCCAGCTTTTCTTCAGAGGTTGGATGATGAAGCTACAGTCAAAGAAATCAAGAGGTTAACAAAAATGGGAGTTATTTCGTTGGTTTCTACGGACCCTCAGGAAGCAACTGAGAACGTACCTCTGGTAGACTCAGAGCAAGAACTTCACAAGTGGTTGACAACGAAGTTGGTGAAAGATTGGAGGTTCAGAGAAGCTACAGGTTTTGAAGTTGATGAAGCCACAGAAGGAACAACCAAGCCCAAGCAGACTCAGAGGTGCTGGCAGCTACGCGCCAGACTCGTAGCCAGAGAATACAAGACAGAAGGAAAAAGAGAAGATATATTTTCTCCTGCGACAAGCCCAGGAATTACAAAACTGGTGCCCATGCTGGCTCTCGCCAACAATTGGGCGATCTACAGTGTCGACGTGAAAGACGCGTTTTTACAAGTCCCTCAAAGAACACCTTGTTTGTGTCGAGTACCTGAAGAAGCAGCTCACGTCGTACAGTCAATGCAGGAACAACCAGAACGCAGCCCTGGAACTTGGTGTTGGAAGTTAGGAAGAGTTTTGCCAGGTCAACGCGACGCATCCAGTCTTTGGTCAGACTTTTGTGATGGTCTTTTAGTGGAAGAGGAGTTTGAGCGTTGTACAGCAGTTCCAGCACTTTACCGTCTTCTACGACAAGGAAAAGTGGTTGCAGTTTGCATTGTACACGTAGATGACTTGCAGTTTGCAGGGAAGAAGGAAGTCATCGAACCAATCCTCAAGAACCTCAAGAGGAAAGTGAACAAGTTGAAGGACCTCTCCTGAACGAGGAAGACTACGAGAAAGGATTTTCTGAAGAGACCGTGAAGTTTCTCAAGAGGAAGTACACGTACGAACATCATGAACTACGAGTACATAGCGATAGCAAGTACGTGAAGAAACTCGTGGAGATCCTCAAGCTGGAGAAGAAGAAGGCCAAGAACTCTCCTTGTACACCAGCCAGTCAAGAACCTGACGTATCCCAAGAACTGGACGAGGAACACTCGAGAACGTACAGAAGTTGTGTTGGCATTTTGCTGTACGTGGCGCACGACCGTCCGGACATCCAGTTCGCAGTACGCAGCCTAAGTACTGCCATGACGAAGCCAACAGAACGCAAAAGAAAGGAACTGGAGCACTTGGCGCTTTACCTCAAAGGAACGTCAGACTACGCCGTTACGTACCACAGGAACAGCCCAGGAACGTCAGCTCTACGTCACCGCGCCGAAGAACCACAAGAACCACAAGAACCTCGAGAACAACCACGCGAACGTTTGCTCGAAGTTTTTAGCGACTCCGATTGGGCCGGAGACAAGCAGACTAGGAAGTCAGTGAGTTGCGCCATGTTCTACCTGGACGGTGCATATTTCTACAGCTACAGCAGGACACAGAAGTCAATAGCATTATCTTCAGCAGAAGCAGAATACATGGCACTTACAGGAGCAGCAAGCGAAGGAATAGGTTTACACGCCGCAGTTCGTTTCCTTACAGGAGAACGAGTACTACTCAAAGCATACACAGACAGTTCCGCATGCCGCGGAATCACAAACCGCCAAGGAACAGGAAGAGTCAAGCACTTGCAGATTCGTTTACTTTGGCTACAAGCAGCAATACGCGAAGGCAAGCTTACTGTACACGCAGTTGGCACAAAGGAAAACACAGCAGACCTAGGAACAAAGCCTCTCAGCACGAAAAGAGTGAAGTTTCTCCTGAACATGATCGGCATGTGCAACAGCGAAGGAAGAGTTGGAGAGCAAGAGCGAGAGGAAGAAGAAAAGGCACAAGTGGTGAGAAGACTCGAGAAGATCATGAAGAACAAGAGCAGCATGTTGTTTGCACTTTCGAGTTTGTTTGCAAAGACTGAGGCAGCCTACGTACAACACGTACCTTTCGCCGCAGCTCAAGAAGTAGCAAGCCCACAAGAAGTCCCAAGCAGTCCTGGAAGCATGTCGCTTCTGGAAGTCCTGGTGACGCTCGCCATGGTGTGCATGGCGGCATACTTTGTCGTCAACGAGATGAAAAAGCCGCAGAAGCACAAGAAGTCGAAGAGAGAAGAGAAGGAAAGCAGTGAAGAAGAAGAAGAAAGCAGCAGCTCAGGAGACAGAAGAAGGAAGAAGAAAGGAGAAAGAAGAGAAGCGAAGACTGAAGCTCCTGCCGCTCAGGTGAACTACGACGTGGACTCCCGACGAGGCAAAGAAAGAAGTGACAGAGAGAGCAGAGAAGTTGAAGAAGGTTGAGGAAAGCCTGGAGAAGGAAAAGGAGGAGTTCGAAGACCGAAAGACAGAGTTTGAGGAGACAGTGAAAAGGTTTTTGAAGAAACAGAAGGAGGTGAAGGAAAAGGAAGACAAAGTTACAGAAAGAGAAGAGAAGTTAGAGAAAGACCAAGAGACCCTCCAAGAGCAAGCCAAGGCCTTAAGCGAGAAGGAGACAGCCCTTGAAGAAGCTGAGGAGAACGTCAAAGCAAAGGAAGCAGAGGTTGAGAAGAAGAAGAAAGAGGCAGAGAAGAGAGAGAGAAAAGCCCAGGAAAGAACCGTCGGGTACGACCAGGAGAGAGAAGAGTACGCCAAGAAGTACGTGGACGACGCAAAGAAGGACTTGGAGAGAGAGCTTAAAGTGCTAAAGCAAGAAGAGAAAGTAAGGAACCAGAAGCTCGACGACCTCCAGTACGACTACAAGAGCCTCAAGGACGACTACCAGTACTTCAAAGGTTACTCACAGGAAGTGGACGCACTTCTACTTGCAGCTAAGGACAAGATCGTGAAGTACAAGAAGAAGGTCAAAAGCCTCAAGGAAACCATAGGTGCAGCCTTGTCTGGAAGCGAAGGTGAAGAAGAGACAGAAGAAGCGTACAAGACCAAAGCAGAAGAAGAGAAAGAGAAGGCAGAGGCGAAGGCAAAAGAAGAAGAGAAGAAGAAAGGAAAAAGGCCAAAGCAGGTAGAGACAGAAGACCAAGAAGAGAAGCCCTCAAGCAACCAAGGAGACGAGAACACTTTCGACCCGAACGACATAGCCGAGTTCACGCAGCTTGGCTACGTGTGGGAGTTCAACAAGAAGACGCAAGAGTACCGCGCGAAGTGCGAGGACAAGAAAGGAGCCCCAAGAATCAAGAACGCTCCGGTGAAAGGCCGCCTCCTTTGGAACAAGGTGACGGAGTGCTACAGAAGGCACAACGTGTGGTTTACAGACGGAAAGGAATTGGATAAATTCCTCGAGACCAAGGAGAACGAGAAGATCGAGGAAGAGGTGCAGCGACGCATCGGCATGAAGGGCAAGAACGACAACACAGGAACCAAGGGAAAAGGCCCTTCCTGGGACGACGGACAGAACGACGGTTGGTGGTACAACGACCAGTGGAACAACGAGAACTGGAACACCACCGACGACGGCAGCAACTGGTACGAGAACGCGAACCCGCGCAACAAAGGCTACTGGCAGACGCCAGAAGAGTGGGCGCAACAGAACCAGTGGGACCAGTGGACACCCAAAGGAAAGAGCAAAGGCAAGAAGTCCAAGAACTGGACGCAGACCCAGTGAAAGGATCCCGAGAAGGGATGATCGAGCAGGTCAAGCAGTGAACGCTTGTACATATGTACATAGCTAAGCAACGTAAGACTTGATGTATACTAGCACAAGAATTCATGTACAAAATGTGAGCAAATGTATAGACGTAGCAAACTGGGGCAGTAAGCCTAGGTAAGCTACAACCTTCCAAAGTCTCACAAGAAGTTTCACAACAGGCAGGCTAGGAAGGCACAAGGGCTAGAAGAGGCAAGAAGCCGGAGAAGCCAAGAACAAAGAGAAGAAGCCCGAAAGAAGAAAAGCCCGTAAGCTACGTAAGGGCAGAAGGAAACCGGGGTACGGGCCTCCCCGCAAAGAGTCCATAGGCTGGACCTAACTAGAACGTAGCTGTATATACAGAGTAGGTTTTTCAAGAAGGCCAATGTACAGACATAGAAGGCCTAAGTAGCAACAGGGCAGGAGTGCAGCTAGGTAAAAGACCAGGAAGAACGGAGACGAAAGTCCCTAGCAAAAGCACTGTACAGAAACCCGCAAGAACTTTCTGAGGCGGGGTGTTCGTTTGTAACCTAGTGCACGTAGTCCCAAGTAGAGTGTGTAAAGTAATCACAGGAACACATGAAACATGTGTGTGAACCGCGACACGGAGGCTTAAGCAAGTCAGCCCGCGAAGTGAGAAAAGTGTGTTTGCGAGTAGAGTGGGAAGGAAGGCTTGAGAAGCCTTTAGTTTCAACACAAACGGCGCAACGCTCGTCAGCCCCATCCAGCACGACTCGACGGTTGCGCACGACCTGCTGCCGATGTGTAGGCGCGCTGGCATTTCAGCAAGCTAAACTGTGCCAGCTCCGCAACAACCCTGGGCCGGACGCTGCAGAAACGGTAATGTTCCAACTTGCGGTTGGCGGGCGTTTCGACAGCCAAGCGTTGGCGCTGCTCCAACGACCGACGACTTGCTCGCAGTGATGCCCGGGACGTTGGCGAAGTTGCCGTGGGGGCTGGGCTTACGCGGCGCTGGACAGCCCTCGCGGTCTTTTTCCAGACCCCGAGATGTCTTTTTCCAGACCACGCGATGTTTTTTGCTTTTTGTTCGACATCCATGGTCCAAAAAATGACCTTGATCTTTTTTCGGCCCCAGGCAGAAGCCAGAAAAAAGACAAGTTGGAGGCCGGAAAAAAGATCCTTTGTCGTGTGTGTGTGTTTTCACTTTTATTTTTTCATTCTTATTTTCTTTGCTTTGACCCCCTAAAGCGATATCGTGTGGCTTCTCCTTCCTTCGTGTTGAAAAACGTTTCTTTTGATATTTTTCCGATGACACACTTTGATTTCTTTCGTTCGCTTTCAGCCCCTAAAAGCGATTTCGTGCTTCTTCTTCTTTTTGTGTGTGTGAGAAGTTATAGTATGGTTAAGTTAGTTTTCGTTCAGTTTGCGTTGCAAAATTCATATTGTGGCGCTCTTTGTTGTGTAATGTCATGTGTGCGTGCTTCTATCTTTGCAGAGGTCAGAAAAAAGACATTAGAGGCCCAGAAAAAGATCCACCGGCGTCCGTAAAAAGACACGGGGTCAGTTACGAGATATTTCGGGGCCGAGAAAAAGACGGCTTAAATCGTAGAGTGGAGGTCGAAACAAGATCGTAATCTTTTTCTAGACCTCGTCGCGGGGCTGAAGAAAAGATGGAGGTCGGAAAAAAGACATGCCGGGGTCGAAATCAAGATGGACCAAGCGCGGGGTCTGAAAAAAAAAATTTCGGGGTCGAAAAAAAGAGCAGCCCCTCGCGGCGCTGGCCGCATTGCGAGCGCATGCCCGGAGCTTGCTGGACCGGTCGGCCCTGCCATGACAGACACAATGGTTCATTGATGCACCGATCAACCAATGCCAATGTATCGTCACTGAGCCACGCGAGCTTATAGCTTTGCTACCACGGAAGTTCAAGCAATTCCCGGCCGCAACACGCCTGCTATTCGTGATGTGTGCGCGAAGATCGTTTGCACAAAGCTGGTTATGCTCCTCGTGGAGTCAGGTACAACTGTCAAAGCGAATCCCCGACCAAAACTGCGAACCTACGCTCAACTGTGTGTCACTCCGTAAATCTTGCATTGACAACTGTTTGGGTTGTGAGCTCCGCCATCACAAGGAAATGATGGGATGCCAGTGGTAAGTCCATGCAAGAATACAGCTGTGAGACACAAGCGCGCCAGTCATGTTGCACCAACAAGATAGCAAGCTGTGCAAAATTCGCCGGAAGAGTCTCGTTTGAAGATTGTGCGCCAATGTTGTAACAAACGACAACATTCGCAGAGTTCTAACAGCAGAGTTTTGTTCAAATCACAGTCAAAAGCAAGCCACTTCCTCACAATACAACAGAGCATGAAGCTCCAGGCCAGCATGAGTCCTGAAACAACCGTGCGGTCAGGGTAACAAAGTGAAACGAAAGATATGTACAGATATTCAGCAAGGGCGAATATGTCACATCCGATCACAGATTCAAGCCTTCCAACAATGAGCGTTGGGCTCGACACACACCAGCCACAAAGTGCATGTGGGCTAACAGTAGGCTAACAGTGTTGCACGGGTGCTGTGGCGAGAAGAGCAGATGCAAAAACACGTCGTCAGGCAACTGCTCAACAGCTTTTAGCCCAGACACCTGGGCACGGTATATCCAAGCCCTTCGCCACGGTACATCAAGGGGGCAGGAGCGCAGAGCGTGAACAAAGCTCCACACACCGGCGCCACACAGACATGGCTGGGCTAGAGACCTGTGATGGGCACAATGAATGGGTGATGGCCACACCGAGCCAATGTCCACTCACGAACTATAGACGCAGACACACGTGAGCTATGGACACGTGGACAAAAACTTAGTCTGGGATGACACTCAGCAAAGAGACGAAGCGACGGCACGGCGGCGACTTCAGCACGACGCGCATCAGCAGCATGCCGATCCAAAACCGGGCACATGCGCCGACGCCTCCAAGCAGCCGCGGTGCGCACCAACTTATTAATTATCCCGCAGGTGAAACGGAGCAAACACAGTCGCTAACCATGGGCCGAGGCAAAACTAGTAGAGCGGCTGCCAGGCTTGCTGCGACTCAAGCTTTTTACATGCAACTTGAAGCTTGAAGTTGAACTCGTCGGTAATGCTTATAGTGCCAGTCAGGAAACCGAGTGCAAACAACTCTTGAACCAAAATGGCTTGAGCCAAAATGGCTTTGAGCCAAAAGGTTGTAGAACGTTGAGCTCACAACAATTTTGCGGAGCTACGGGCATATGCCATATGAAAGGGGTCCTCAGACAACAAGAACGCTTGAAAACGCTGGGTCGTTGCAGATTGAAAAACATGTGCCACTAGGCTCCAATGGACTCCACAAACACATGCTGGCCCGAGTTTCCGGCCAGAAAAAGTTTTAGCCCGCGTGCCACATTCATTTTCGGATTGCAAGTGTTGCAGTTCGCCGACACGCGCTTCGACGATTTGGGCGACAACGTCGTTATGGGTGCATATGGGTGCCTGCGGCGCGAGGTGGGGTCGTGAGTAGGCACAGGTGGCACGGGCCTGTCCTTGCCACTCGTGCCTTGCATGTGGCTGCCGTTGTCGACCACCGGTCCGCGTGCACGTGCAGGCCCCCCGCTCGAGCACGCGCGCGATGCACGGCATGTGCGCATTGTCCACTTCGCGGATTGTGAACCTTGCTTACCTGCATGTCTCGTTGATGCGGCTGCTGTTGTACTGCGCATTTCCTCGTGTGCAATTTTGCCGTCGCAGTGTGTAGCCGCAGTGTTTCCTTCCAACACCTGGATTCCGGAACAGGCCGCAAAAGGTGCGAAGCGAGACAAAAATCCGGTGTCAGAAAAGGCAGCAAGTGCTCTGCCGCTGGCAACCCTGCCCTGGCCGCATGGGTTATTTCATGGAGTTAACTCTTGTTCTGGGCAAGCCTCTCGAGTCCTTGCTGCCGCTTCGGCGCACCCTTCTACCAACCCCTACATCCGGGACCTCCCTACGGGCCCCGTGGTGGCAGGCGGCTCCATTGCGCCGCTCCGTGTGCTCGCTACCACTTTTTGTGGAGCTCGTCTTCCAATCAGAGCTTGGCGCGGCGCGTCCGCCCCCAAGCGCTGCACGGGCTGCTTGCGGACTCTCGCTGGCAGGCGGCTCTTCCGTCGCCGCGCTGCCAGTGCTTCGAGCGCAACCCGCCTCCTTACCCGTATCCTTGCCATAGCTGACCTGCAAGCCGCTTGGCTTCTCCTCCGGTACTGCGCGTGCCCCCGGGCCAATTACCTGTTGCGGGTTTTGCCACTGGCCAGTATGCGGAGTGCCTGTCAGCGCAAGCTGCTCGCAGGCCGAGCGCACTATACTGCAAGGAGAGGTGGGCAGACGGCCGTTGCGAGCAGCGGCGAGTCCGCATGAGTTGGGCGATGTGGTGCCGGGGATCTGGTTGCTCGTGTTGAGATGGGCTGTGCCACATCGGGTGTACTCCCAACCCGAGCGCTGCCGCTGGAACGGGATTTTCCCGCGCTTGCCGCGAGGGAGGGGCCCGAGTCGCCCGCAACGTCCGCATCGCTGATATGAACGTTGACGTGCCGATCAGCGACGGCCGCCACATCGAGGTCGTCTGCAACGGCCTTGCTCTGTGGCACGGAGCGCAGCACTGCGCAGCTCGCGGTCGATGCCACTATCGTCTCGCCACACTCACGCGATGTCCTTCACCCAGGCGCAGACGCTCGACCAGGCGTCACGCTCGCCCGAGCTGAGCGAAGGAAGCGGCGCGAGACGTACCCCGAGCTCCTGTGCTCCCGCCGTTGTCGTCTCGTCGTGTTTGGCATCGAGACCGGCAGGCGATGGAGTGCGGAAGCCGCTGACTTCATCCGCCTCGTCGCGCGAGCGAAGGCTCTCAGTGCACCGACCTCCCTGCGCCAGTCAATGCGCACGGCTTGGGTGCAGCGCTGGACGCTCAGCGAGCCTTCGGCCTCGTTCCTCGACCTCCCGGCTGACTGCGAGCCCGGTGCTGCCGACAACCCGCCGTCTTTGCACGAGGTGCTCGGCGAGCCTCGGATCACAGCCGCCTCCCTGCGCGCAGCTCGGGTGCACCTCGAGCTGCAACGTGCCCTCTCCGTAGCTCGCAGCATGCACTGGGACCGCTTCGTACTTCCGGAAAAGATGCGAGAAAAATAAAGAACCGCCACCATAGACATTCCGTAGACCGCAGTTGGCACCTGGACCTGAATCCTCCTTGAGCGGCGGTCGCAAACAGGTGTTGCACAAGCCTAGAACGTTGTTGCGCCGGTTATCGATGCAAGGCGCACCCAGGTCATCGCCAAACGGCATCCACTTGATGCCATCATCGTCTTGCCGTTTGGGAAGAAAAGCGATGCTGTCAAGGCGGTCGCCAGGCGCAAGCACCGCCATCACTTACCCCGAGTTCGGCAGGGCCTAGGCAGGGCGCAACGCTGCCAGCTGGTGGTGGTCCGTGTTGAGGTCGGTAGCAGGTTCGGTGCCGAAGCTACCCAATAGCTCCGGCTTTCGGCAAGTGAGTGAGCCGAAGCCGTCCATCCCTACCTCCAACCGACGGCCATGAACGCCTGCTTGCTTGAACTTCCCCCTTGCGAGTGAAGGCACTTCCGGCTAGCTCCTTGCCCGTGCGCTAGCTGGTTATGTGCACGTGAACTTATTTGGTAAGTGATGGGGAAACGTGGGTGAAACGTAAAACTATGTGCGTGTACACCCTTCTGGTAGGTGACTGGAGAACTTAAATCGACCGGACCCGCGCCGTCCAGTCATACCAAGGCGTGTGAACAGAAAACGAAGGTGGGGGGTACCCAGCGCGCAGCGTGTGTCGCCGCCTTTGTCGCACGATGGTCTGGGCTTCTCTCCATCGCTGCTGCACGCTCCCTCGCTGCCAACCTGCTGTCCTTCCGATTTCCAACACAGCCAATCTCGATGGCGAGGCCGAAGCACCTCCTCTCACCTCCCGCATGGGGTGAGCTCCGCTTCGTTCTTAGGAGGTTGGGGGTTTGGTTGGTTCTGGACTTTTGGTTGGTTCCGGTAGCCTGCTGCACTGGGACCGCGCCCGGAGGCTTGCAAAAAGGTCCGTGGAAAAAAAAAAATTCTTGCGCCCACGATATCGTCGTTGCAGCTCAGAAAAACAGCAGGGCTTCGAGCGACAAGCCGCCCCAACAGAACCAATTGTTAAAGGAAGACCCGAGCCATTCTTGGCAGTCGATGGGCTTGCGAAAGGCAGGCGAAAGGCTTTGTTTGACACGACTATCGTGGTTTAGGCAAGCTGTCTGACCGCCCGATCCCAAAATGCCCCGAGTGTTAGTTAATCTTTCCTTGTGCCGCCGTGGGCAAACATGCTTCGCGCAGCTTCTGTGCTAATCAATGCTGATGATGGTGATGCGAGTGCGAGTGCCAACCTGCCGGCTACTGAAATTTCGATTTGTTTTCGCGTTTTTAAACGACTTTTACGTCCTGGATGTGGTGGCTGGAGAGGTCGAAGCTACCCGCGGGATAGCGTCCAATCACGGCAGAACACAGAGTGCCAGTGCCGCCCAAGGTGGCCGACCACAGTATGCCCATCGGGCATGCGGCATCCGGCTTTCAGCCAAGCGTGGGCGAGACAAGCGTCTGCCGGAGGAGAATCGGTTGCTCAACCTTGTTGATCCTTGTCGATCTTGTCGCCCCGAGCTAACCGCCATGCCCTCCGCACTCTCCTGCCAACCGAGGTAGCAGGGGAAGCAGCATCACATGATGCAGCTCTGTGGGAAGCGTTCCATTCTTGCATCGGAAGACGTTGTGTTGCCTGCTGTGCTCCACGAAGGCTACCTTCTCGTTCGTGTTCAGGACTGGGAGGCTGCTGGTGGACAGGTGCAAGAGCCGGGAGAGGAGCGGCCTCGTTCTCCCAGCGGCAGTGAGCACCGCTCAGGCAGCCCTGCTTCCCGCAGCGTCTCGCGCAGCCCGCGAGGCACTCCCCCGCCAGAGCGCCGCCGCCCCGTCGCCTTTCCTGGCACAGCCGGTTTCTCAGCTTCTCCCTCCCTGGCTGCACTCGTCCCCGTTTGCGGCGACAGCGAGGCCGTTCCGAGTGTAAAGCGCTAGCTGTTGGCGCCCCTCGGCTGCCATTGGCTGTGCTCCTGGTCTGGGCCTCAGCCTTTCCCGTGCGTTTCTCACTGCCGTTTTTTGCCAGTGATCAAGTGACGGCCGGCCGTCGGCGCCTCCAGGCTGCCGCAGGCTGTGCTTTTCACTCGGCTCTTTCCCTGTCAGGTCGTGCTGGCAGTTTTTTATTTCCAATTTACATCAAGCCGGGCCCCTTGGGGACCACCTTTGCAACTGCCAGCTCAATTTCGGTTGTTTGCGCCTCCGGGCTGCCGCCGCATTGGGCTCAGCTGGCGACGACGGCCGCTGGCACAGCACACAGCCATCGGGCTGCTGCCGCGGCCGCCGAGCTGCGGGCTTCAACCGCTAACGCAACAGTCGTTCCCCAGTCTGTCGGCCGCTGGCGCTCCCTCGGGCAGCCGCGGCCACCGGGCCAAGGTACTTCGCTCATACTTCGACCTTGGTTGCTAGCTGCCACTCAGGTCGGGCCCTCAGCAATTGCTGCATACTGCACGTTTTGTTCTGTCATGCCACCGCCGCCTGCATCTGAGTCCCAGCTTTAATTGGTTCAGGCTCTTGGGCAGACTCTGCCCACCTGCGTGCCCGAACCGCGCTACAAAAAGAGGGTTCCGTTGCACCAGCCAGCGCATATACCCGCCGCTACACATCAGTATGTCCATGCCCAGGCGTTCGCGCGATGCCTCTCCAGCTGCCCGCCGCAACCTCACTGCCCACGCCGTCCCAGCCGGCAGTGCGCCTGCCTTGGCAGCCACTGGCCGTGGTGACGCGCGTGGCGCAGCGTCCGTCGTTACAGTGCTGGACGACACGCCCCCCAACACTCCGCGGGAGTCCGACATCTCCCTCAACACGCCGCCCGCTTTCCCAGAGGCGGACTTGTGTGCGATCTGCCTGGACCCCATCGACCCCACAACCACCGGCGAGGCATCAGCAGTCCTCCACCCGACGTGCGCCCGCCACCGCTTGCACCTCGCGTGTCTTGCGCAGCAGCGGGCCCAACCCGATGCTCCAGCAGACATGCACTGCCCGGTCTGCGCTGCGGGAGGCTGGGCCGATGCCGACGACCAATGGTTGCGAGCGGCGTGTGCGGCACGGGGGATCGAGGCGCCCACACGGCTGCCCGCCCCTTCCACCGTGCGCCAGGGCATAGCGGACTATACGATCCGCACATTCACATCCAACGATGCGCCCGAACCTCAGCCACCAACTCATGTGCGCGTGCTCTGCTGCCGCCGAGTCGCAGCCGTGCGTGGGGACGAAGGGGAAATCAACTTCGTTGAGCTCCCGGACCGGAGAATGCAGTGGTCACCCATCGCCGTCCGCGGCGACACCGGCATCATGGCATGGCGATTGTCGTGGGCTTGCCCGCGCTGCTCGCGAGTCCTGGACTGGGAAGAGGCTGCGGTGCTTGCCGACGCTGGCACGCCCTGTGCCGACTGTCGCCGGCCTCGGAGTTGGGAGTTCGACGCCACAGCTCGCACTGCCTGTTTGTGCTGCGCTTGCGGACGGCAGCCGCAGCCGATCGCCGGGGCACCCGAGGCGCTCGCCGGACTCCCCGATGCGCCTGCCAGCGATCCAGCCCCCGTGCGCGGGTCGTGGTACGAAGTCGGCCCGCCAGCAGGGAACCCGCACTCAGCCACAAACTCCTGGTTGTTCGTCCCGCTCCTGCACGCCGCGTGCGGCACCCTGTCCCCGCGAGCCGTCGAAGCATGGAGCCGTGAGGAGCGCTGCCAGCCCTGGTGGGGTGAAGCACGCCACACGCTCCTTCATTCGGCTCCGGTTGCGGCCGCCCTGCTCCTCGATGCCCTTCGCGAGGCAGCTGCCCGGCACCACACTCCGCCTCCCCAAAGCATCATCGCTGCAGCCCAGGCCTTGCCCTCCGGCGCTGAGCTGCATTTAGGTTGGGTCGTTCGTCAGCTCGCCTCTGCCGACGGCTACATCCATGCAGCAGCGCAGGAAGTGTGTTTGCAACTGTATGGGGGGCTGAGTTTTGCTGCGAACCTCGACCGCTTCTCTGATGCCTTTCGCCGCGACGACGAGGCGCCGGTCCCTCCTGCACCCGCTGGCCCGCGTCCCGCCGCTGCAGCCCTCGGTGCACGGCAGTCTGACGGTGACGATTCGCTGCCGTTGTTTCGGAGCGCGCCCCGGGCGCTGCCCAGCAAAGGCGTGGGCGAGGCGGAGGGCGTCGCGGCCGCAGAGCAGCACGCGGACACAGGATCCCAGAGCCTCCGTTGCCTGCAGGCGCCCCTTGCACGGCCGCCGCAGCTCCGACGCAGGCGGAGCAACGGGTTGGCGCTGCTTCCACAGGCGTGCGCCTCGGCCTCGAGCAGCTCGACGACATTGATCTCGCCTTTGAGCTGCGCCGCCGGACACTCACACTCCAAAGCGCTCCGACCCAACTTCGAGGCATTCTCCGTTATGCGCTGCGGACGGGGTTGGAGCAGGCCGTCGCGGGCCCCGGGCCGGACGACACAACCCGTGGCTGGAAACTCTTTTTCTTGGCACCCCGCATGCTGCTGCACCGCGAGCCCGGCCAATCGCGCATCGAACCCGCCGAGCTCGAGCGGCGAGCGGATGCTTTCCGCCGCGGCGAATGGCCCTCGCTTCTCCGCGCAGCCTGCGCCGCACCTCCCGCACAGCCTACCCCGCGCTCACTTGCTGATGGGGCCGACCCGGAACGTCGAGCGGCGCGCGCCACCGCGCTCGTCCACTTGGGGGAACTCTCTGCAGCGACTCGGGCCCTCACTGCTGAGCCACTCGCCGCCGGCAACCAATCTACGCTCGCTGAACTCCGGGACCCCAGCCGCCGACCTCAAACACCAGTCGTGCCACTCAGCCCGGAGGTGCTCAACCATGTCGCGGAGCCATGCCCCATGCCAGACACGCTCCTGCTGGCCAACCTGCGCGCGGCCCGGCGAGGCTCGGCCGCAGGCCCTTCAGGCATGACTAATGAGCACCTGCGCTTGCTGCTGGACGACCCCGACGACTTCACCTTGCTCCACCAGGCAGCACTTCGGTTCGCCAATGCTGACGTGCCGGCACCTGTTTTGGCAGCCGCACGCCTTGGACGAATCGTAGCTCTCCGGAAGCCGAATGGCCGGGTGCGCGCGCTCGTCGTCGGGGATGTTTTTCGCCGCCTCGTCGCCCGAGCCTTGGCACAGCACTTCGCGGAGGCCCTCCAGGCGGCATGCATGCCCTATCAATTCGGCGTGCGCACGCGTGTGGGCACTGAGGCGCTGTACAAGCTCCTCCATGTCGCCACCGAGTGCAATCCCCGCACCACAGTCCTGTCGGTCGACTCCGTAGGGGCGTTCGACCACGTTTCTCGACAGGCCATGCTCGAAGGGCTGCGCTCGCGACCTCAGCTTGCCCCGCTCCTGCCGTTCGCCCGCCAGTTCTATGGCACCGAGAGCAGCTACGTCTGGACTGACGACACGGGCACCGAGCACGAGATCTTGCAAGCCGAGGGCGGCGAGCAAGGCGACCCCCTCATGCCCGCGCTCTATGCGGTGGCACAGCACGCTGCCCTTCATGCTGTCGCGTCCACACTGCTGCCAGGCGAAGGCGTGTTCGCCTTCCTGGATGATACCTACATCGTTTGCCCCCCGGAGCGCGTCGCCACCCTGTACGGTACCCTCACCGCTGCCCTTTGGGACCATGCTCGAGTCCAGCTCCCAGGGCAAGACCCGGGTCTGGAACGCAGCTGGAGAGGAACCGCCGAACCTCGCTGCACTCCAACCGGACCCCAGCTTTGCCACTGACGTTTGGGTCGGGGCTTGGACCTTGCCTGCAGAGCGCCAAGGGCTCGTCGTGCTCGGTGCGCCGCTCGGCACTGAAGCTTTCGTGCAGCGGCAACTGCGGGACCGGCGCCGCAGCCAGGATGTCCTCCTCGAGCGCATCCCCGCCCTCGGCGACCTGCAGGCAGCCTGGCTGCTGCTACTTTACTGCGCGTCCACCCGCGCCAACTACCTCCTCCGCATGCTCCCCCCGCACTGCACGGCCGATTACTCCCGCGAACATGATCGTGCCGTCGCCTTGTGTCTCCGCACCTTGCTCTACGGGGAGGAAGCACCCGAGCTGCGAAATGATGCCCTTGGCACGGCGCAGCTTCCGCTCGGGTTAGGGGGCCTGGGTCTGCGATCTGCCACCTCCGGTGCCTCGGCCGCCTATTGGGCCTCGTGGCAGGACGCCTTCCCTGCACTGCTCCATGGCAGCGTTTCCCTGCCGACGCTGCGCAGTTGCAAGCCAGCCTTTGTGCGCCTCACGGTGGCATGCTGCCGGCCCTCCGCCGCTTGCACGGCTGCGGCGCGAGTACGGGAGGCCGGCTTTCCCGTACCCGACTGGAGCGCTGCGGCCGCGCCTGCCGCACCGCAACCCCCGCACGGGGACGGCCACCTGCGTGGCTGGCAGAGGGCTGCTGTGGCAGCTTGCGACGAGCGCGCGCTCGAGACGCACCTTTCTCACTTCAACCCTGCGTCCCGAGCGCTGCTGCTTTCGCAAGCTGGACCCCACTCAGGCCGTGCCCTCTCCGTCTCCCACTGCCCCTGACGCCGCGCACCTGCCGCTGCCGCGGCCGCCTCGACCCGCTTGGTGACCACCGCGCCGCTTGTGCCACCTCCGGAGTGTTGGCGACGCGAGCCCTTCCGCTCGAGCATGCGGTCGCCCGTGTGTGCCGGGAAGGCGGCGCGCGGGTTGCACGCAACGTCCGGCTTGCTGACATGAACATCGATGTTCCCGTCAGTGACGCGCGTCGCATTGAGGTCGTCGCATACGGCCTGCCCCTCTGGCACGGGGCGCAGCTCGCACTTGACGCAACGATCGTCAGTCCTGTCACGCGGAGCGGGGAGGCGCAGCCGGGCGCCGCCGCGCGCCCTGGTGCGGCCGTCCAGGCCGCTGCGCGCCGCAAGCGGCGCCAAACGTACCCCGAGCTCGCTAGCGTGCGACGGGCCCGTCTCGTCGTTTTCGGGGTCGAGGTCGGCGGGAGCTTCGGTGCTGAAGCTGCCTCCTTCCTCCGTCACCTTGCCCGGCACCGTGCGGCCAGCCTTCCACCCCTGCTCCGAGCTGCTGCTTGTGCAGGCTGGGTCCAACGTTGGTCCGGCCTCCTTGCTGTCGCTGCCATGCGTGCCTTTGCGGCGTCCCTCCTCGAGCTGCCTGGTGGTGACGTTTGCGATGCGGGTGCGGCGCACTTCGTGGAGGTCCTCGCCGAGGTCCGCGGCGGCCCCCCGCTCGGCGCAAGCCGCCTGCCGGCGCCTTGAACCCTCCCGTAGCTCGCAGCTGAAATGTGCTCTGGGACCGCGGTCACTGTTCGAAAAGAGGCGCGTGCAAAAAAAAAAAGTTGTGTCGCGGAACTGGAAAATCGGTTCCAGGGCGCAGCACAAGCCTTCAACAATTATTTTTTCGATGCTCGCACCTTGCTGCTCACGGAAGGTTGGTCGACTTGTCCCATTGGGGCACAGCTGCTCGACAACCACCAAAGAAATGAAGGCTTTGCCAGACCGGGGAACTGGCCCCATGCATGTCAGCACCACACCACGCGGACACGCACCACTTACTTTCGCAACCGCGTGCTGTTGCCGACCACGGATCCTGCTTTCCGCGCACTCGGCTTGGCTGATCGCCATTCCTTCAAATAAAGCCGACGTACTAGCACCCCAGAACATGCAGATCGCGTTGCGCAGACGCTTGCGTCTCGTTGTGCCGCTCACCTCCGAGGCACGTGGTGGCGATGCAGCTGGATGCGGCCATTCCGTGGATCCTTCGGGGGACCATGCCGTGGCATGCTCGCGCACAAAAAAAAAGAGAAAAAAGTTCGTCGAGCATGCTTGGATCCGCGTGGCGCGCGATGCCATCGGGCCCGAAGGTCAGGCCGTCCCATAGTAATTCAGTGGCTCACGCACACGACCGCACCGGGAGTGGGGTCGGATGACCGCTGCCGACTTGACATGGCGTCACTCCTTAGGCCACTGTGCTGTGGCATACGGGCTTTTCGCTTTCGCCCGTTCGAGTCATGGTGAGACACCACGGCAACGGTCCTATAAGGACATGGGGATGTTGGTGAAACATAAATCAAGATAATAGGATTCAAAGCACCATAAAGTCTTTGACAAATTCGCGTTCTTTGACTTTCCATGCTGTACATGCTGCCACGTTGGTCCAGCAAGGTGCGTTCGGAAAATGACGGTTACAGAACGAGCCGAGTCTATCATCCCATCTTGTCAAGGGGCGACCAGGACGGCGAGACGGACATTGAGTAAAGTTCTCTGTCCAATTCATTGCCGGATGCCACGTGCAGACGTGTCGTGCCCAGCTATCGGATTCAGCAACTTGGGATGCAAAATGGTACTGACGTCTGGCCAATCTGGTTGTCCACATTTCCAGCGGATACTGCTTGAGAGCCTGTTCCACACGCAATTTCATACGTTTCACAGTCTCAGGCCACGGTTCGTCGGACACGCGGATCCATCCTACAATGGACCTAAGCATGCGTCGTAGCACAATATCCAACTTTTGTAATTGCTGTTGTGTCAATGAAAGAGTGTGCAACCCATATAATACAGTCGGCGTCACGGTTGCATCGAATAGCTTCAACCGGAGTTTGATGGTGGCATACGGGGCAGCGCTAATAGCCACGGCTACACGCCGCAACGACCCCCAGTGCCTCGTTGTACTCGGCTCGGAGGTTGGGGCACGGGAGCCTTAGCTCTCTCGTTCGCGACCAGCACCCTGCTGCTTCGACGGCGAGCGGTCTGCTTGCTGGCCGGAGTGCGTTTCGTGAGTGAGACACGTTGCTTGATGTCATCAATGCGGTCTTCATAGGAGCAGACTGGGGGCAAGACTGCATTGATATAGACACGGAACGTGCGCAAACACCGTTCGCAATTGGCTAGAGGACACCGTGATGTATTCGATCACGTTTGTTGTGGGAGCATGCCGAACACTGCTCGTACACAGGGCAGGGCGGGAGCCGGCAAACAATGCGCTGATGTTTTGACATGTGTCGTCGGGCTGGAATTTTGAATTTGTTGGGTTGTTGGGCCGACACGCAAAAACGGTGTTTGTACCGCAAGGCCTTTATTTCAAGTTTTTCTGCTGCTTGTGTCAGAAATCTAGCACTCTAGCACTGTTACGCAGTGCAAGGATGGCTGTTTTGATATCGTTTGCTGTTTGGCGGCTGTTGTTTAAAATAATCAAAAAGGTCGATTTGCAATAATAACAAACAACTATTGACGTTGGTCAACCATGCAGACCGTTTGATGTGGCCAAATTACGCACGTCGTTGAGGGGACGTGCAAGGAAGGGGACCCACCACAGGCCAAAGGACAGTTTCGAGGCTTGCCCAACAACGAATGAGAGCTGGTTTCCTTTCCAGGTTGATAATAGCACACTGACACTCCATTTGTCCAGTCGGCGACCGCGTTGAGACAGAGCATCGATGTGATTGGCCGTTTTTGCGAGAACCAAATCATTGTACAGAGACGGATGCGTTGCATTGGATTTGGAGCAGTGCCTCGTTCGGCATTGGCATATCAATTTCCGAAAGGATTCTGCTTTCGACGACGGGAAAAAAGATTGTAGATGGCAGGGTGGCAGGTGTCATTCAGTGCTGCAGCAGATTCCGTGCCACTCAGGCGAGTCATGGAGTTTGGATTGACGGAAGAGCAGGTCCGCGTGTACACAGAGGCTGCCTTGGAACCGTGTTTGCTGGGCTGCGTGTATTTGCTACATTGAACGCCAGGCATTCAATGACATGGACAAAAATCACACCGGTGTCCTGCAACCAGCCGTCGTCTCAGACAGTATTACTGGTTACTTCAAGAACGGCAGTGTAGCAGGTATTCACGGCCCCCTTACGTCACCGCCAGTTGTATATTTCATAAGTGCAGGCGAATGGGACCCTCGGATATAGTAAACGATTTTTCCAGCACACGGATTGGCAGGGCAATTCGCGAGGGGAGAACGAGCCGTCTTTCTCCTTGTAACAAGCTCACGGGTGCTGGCGCCGCCGCCCGCATCGAAGCGCCACCGTAAGAGAGCCTCGCCAAGAGGATTGCACGGTGCGTTTCTGAAGTGGCGCCGAACCCACATCTATTTAGCATGAAGCGAGCGAGCATTGCAGTATGGACACCGGGACACGACACGGTGTGATGCGTGCAAAAGCATTGAAGCATACACAGGGGGGACATCGAAATATCGACAAATGCCCCAGTGAGCTCATTTGTAGCAATCCGACGACAACAGTTGTTTCCGATGCTATTGCTCCTCAGTGTTCAGGGCTGGGGTGGATACATCGGTCTGAAGTGGAAGCTTAGTCACAGATGGGCCCCCGCTGCCAAGATAAATTTTGGTCATGTGCAATTTGCAAGTGTTGCGGGGTGGGGGGCTAATGGTGTTGTGTGAGTGTGCAACTCAACTTCGACCGACTTGCACCAGTTTTCCTGACTGCAAGACGGAGCTGGGGATCTTGATGCGATCGCGTGGGCATACGCTGTCAGATGAGGCTGTGTTGGGCGTGCTTGCAGGGCGCATGAAATTGTCCGAATGTGTTGGTACAGGATATGCGGGACCTGGCGGCTGACAGGCCAGCTCTTCCTGGCTTTGGGCTAGCGGGTTCTGAAGCTTCGATTGTGACTTGAGGCACGGGACCGTCACCCTTGCAGACTTTCTACAAATCATGGCGAAGCGCGAGCAGGATTGCATGTTGCATGCTCTTTTCTAGCGAATCCAGCTCAGTATCTCTTTCGCACCCTCCCTCCTCGCGTGTATTGTGTATTCACTGTTGGAAGGATGTGCTCCTTCAGCAGAAGCTTGCTCAAGCTTTTGCGGTCTTTGACAAAGATGGGAGTGGTTTCATCAGCGTCAATGCAGAGAGTGATTTCCGCAAGCAAATGACGCAGCCTGACTGCATTTTTGCCGTGGCAGGTGAACAGGATCAGAGTTGGATTGTTGCGCAGGTCGTTAGGAAGCAACCCATTCACCGACGAGCAGTTCGAAAACTTCCTGAGCGAGTTTCCCTCCCAGTTCGGCCAGGCGAAGGATTTTGAAGTTAAACGCCGGTGCCAGGTACAGGGCCGAAGCTGCTTCACAACATCCAGCAGAACAGGATCGCTCAGCGTAGACCATCAGCATGGCCCGCATGCGCATTTGTCTTGGAGCCTGGCAGGACGGCTTGGTGGACTACCAGGCCGACCGAGTTGAAACTTGAAGCGAAGCAGGTCCAGGTTGCGCAAGGTCCTCGAACATCTCCGAACCTTCGCTTGCAGATGTTCGCTTAGAGTCGACCCAGTCGACCCACACCCCATGGATCAAGGGAACGGTGAGGGCCTGCGGAGAGGAAGCTCTGTCCCCACCACCTCGCCACCGTTGCCACCCCATGCCGCAGCAGATCCGGCACAATCGAAGGATGCTCAACTCAAGCATTGCTCCACCTCTAACTCCCCCACACAGGCGAGAGCAACCGTCAGTGTGCAACACGTGTTTGAAAACTGGATGACACATGACACACGGTCCACGGATGTTGAAATGCTGTGTGCGTGTGTAACCATTTCCATTCCCCGCGATCGTAGAGCATGGCAGGAGTTTATCAAGCTGATGCTTCGAAAGGCTCCTTGAGCGGCCCAGCTCGGCCTTCTCATGGCATTGTCCAGTAGAGAACGAATGAATCTTGGAGCCTGCAAAGACTGCTGCGCTCTTGGGCACTGGAAAAGTCAATGCCCCACGTGTTTCACTTTCGTCGCATTTCCGATTAATCTCTGCGTGTGGTCGAAAAATGGCGATCCGGGGGTAGTATCATCGCTATTTGCGGCCTCTTGCTTATCCTGGGTCTGGAATGTGTGAGTGTTTGCATCTGCGTCTTGCAGAGGCGACCTGTCATGTAGCAAAGTCGAAAGCAGTGGCCAGCAGCAGCTGTACTACGATTAGATTAGGCCATAGGTGAATATAGGTGATAGTGCTGCACCGCTGTGCACTGCTGCACATGGGCAAGACACGAAGACTTGTGAAACGTCGGAGAAACGATAACGGTTCGCCCTTCAGGAGCCTTGTCGATGGCATGGGATGCTCGCTAGTTGATAACTGCCAGACGCGGGCGTTCGGCAAGCGTTGGTGTGGCTGATCTGGGATTTGAAATTTGGGGTGATGGTTCCGGAACCGATGCTGAGCCGTTGGGTTTTGACTCAGCTGCGGCCTCCGAGCGACAAAAGACGTGCTGCGGTTGCAGAAGCACTTTCTGACTTCCGGCCCGCCATGAGGCAGTTTCATGATGGTCCATGCTTAGAAAATAGAAAGCACTTCGCCTCCAAGACGAGTGTTCTGGATGTGGCCGCCGGTGATAAGTGGTCCGCACGGGTCAGAACCAGTAGCTTACCACGCTTGGCACCATGATGATTTGCTTTTGGGTGCACAACAAGAGTTGGTCTTTTGAAGGGTTCCGCGTGCTTCGCCATGGATGCCGTTCATGCAGAGAGGCAGGAAGCCTCAGAATCCATACCGCAAATTGAATACCCTTCAGTCAGGTCGAAGTTGGTCCAGAGACAGAAGCAGCAGCGACAGGAGTGACGACAGACCCCGACCCTGTGACGGAAAATGCTTGCTATAGACCGCTGGAATTGGTGTCGCCAGAGTGGCCGGGTCCCCGGGGCCTGCTAGGAGCTCGAGAAGAAAATCAAGAAGCTCAAAGGCTGGCACTGTTTTACAACATTCGGGTGGTTGCCGCGGGAACCTGGAGGTGCCATGAAAGAGGCTGCACAGAAGGAGCTGGACGAACTGGAGCAGCAACACGAGGCGCAGCGGCCATTCAATGCCGTTTCTTGAGGTCTGTTTTCGCAGCTTCGGATCCCTGTGCAGGCTGAACTGACCAGCTTCGATGCAAACAAGGGTGTGGCGGAAGGCCCAGGCAAAGAAGCAGGTGCCCCAGGTCGAAAAAGGCAGCAGTGGTAGCCTGGTAGCAGCCACAGCAGCGGCGCCACCGCCCAGTGCCAGCGCGAACACCTTCTGCCGTTTCATAGTTTCATGTCTTTACTTCTTATTCGTCATCGTCAGCTTAGTTGCTCTCACTCAACCACCATCGCCGTCGCGATCTTCATCCGCTTTATCGTCCTCATCCTTATGATCCTCATCTTGATAATCCCCCCTGCCCTCCTCATCACCATCGTGTGACGAATTTTGGCTGGGGGAAGATCCTGCCCTAAAGTGAGTCGGGACAACGTGTCTTCATGTGTGCTTGTATGTGGTAGCTGTGTACATGCACGCAGCCGCTCCGCGCGTGGTGCTCCTAGTATATAGCCGCAGTATGGCCTTTCTTGTCTACTCCGTGATCTTCTCTGCTTGTGAACGGAATTCAACTGCGTGCTGCGCAAGCAGCATGGCAGCAGGTGTTGAGGCTCATTCTCACGTAATTCAGCGTTGAAATAAAGCTTTCTCTGCGGTCAGTTCGAGCGCTTCGAGGTCATTGCAGAGGCCGATTCCTCTTCGATCATGCAGGCGAGCAATCTCACTCGTGGTAGCCGCCGAACTGTGTTTGTAACCGGGCCCTGCAAGGATGCGAAAAAGTTTCGTGAACGAAACTGGCACCACTGCTTGTTTGAGACATCACACGTTTGGGTCGGCTTGGTTGCTGCTGGGTTTCGGAGCAGGAGTGGTTTGTCCAAGAAAGAGCTGGAGGAGGAATGTGTGGCAAGAGGCTCTGATGGGAGCATTCGGGAGACGAGGACACGACGCGTAGGTTGCTATGTTTGCGCTATGTTTGCTGAGCCAACAGGCGACATGCACAGGGAATTCGGAGCAAGAACATTCAGCGTTGCTGCCGTTTGGCCAGGCCTGGGAAAGAAAGGCTCAAAGGAAGACCTTGTCCAGAAGCTCATCATCTTCCAGCAGGACAGCTCGGTGTCCTCGCGGGCATGGGAGAGGTGCCATGCGCATGTAAAGGGTAGCTGGAGATTGTTTTCATAAATTCTTTGGTTTCAGGTCTCGCGTTTGTCTATGGAGAGCAAGCAAATCCGGCGCACACGCGTTGTGATGAGCATTTTCTCGATTTTGCAACTGTCAACTTTTGTGAGGACGGTGTTACGATGCATGTTGTTTCGCACTGTGCTGCAAACGCTGGTGACGCTGCTGTCGGGACTCTCGCTACTACCACGAAGACGAGGACGACCGCGGCGGCAGCAGCAGTAGCGAAAGGCACACCGACGACCTCGATTGGGACCGCGACCCGCGAAGACGACGACGGGACAACGACAACGACAGAGCACGAACAGGCCGTGTGTGAACTGCAGGTTGGGATGCCGTGGAGATCCACAGTTGAAAAGTTTGTTCTGAGGAGTTAGCATCAAAGCTGGCCTCGGAGGAGGCCTGCCTCTCGGATCTCGACAGTTTCCGATGAAGGGCGATGATGTTACGAGACCGAAATCTGGATCTGTGTATAGGTAAACTTTTGTCGATGGAAGTCTGTATGCGGAAAATGTCTACTTGCAGGCCAAAGCTTCTACAGCTTCCGGAGGCTATGCTGCCGCGGCACCAGCTGCCAGCCTCTCATTCCAGTTGTTTGTGACTCGAGTGCATCTGCAGGCATGTGTAGCTTTGTGATCTCTGCCCAGGCTGCAGCTAAAGCTGGCAAGGATGACGAGGACGATGATGACGAGGAGGCGGAGGAGGAGGAAGATGACGACGAAGACGACGACGACGATGACGACGACGAAGACGAGGCTGACGAGGCATCTCTGTGATACTGTTGCCAGTGTCACGAAGGAAGCACGGAATTGTGCAGAAACGCTTGCTAGCTACTGTAGCCTCGAAGGTCGTAACTGCCGCGGCCGAAGCTGTTCTTTGTTTTCAGGTGGACGCGGAAGAGATGGAACGGCAGGGAAAGCGAGAAAAGGCACAGTCACTGAGTCTTCGGCGAACCTGTGCTGATTGCACTTCTGCCGGGCTCATCTTGTGAAGGCAATCCAGAAGGCGCTGCGATTTCTCCTGACAGAGAAGTGCCCGGAAGCTGGTTTGCATGTAGAGTCCGGACCTTGCGCAACTGTTCAGCATGTCCTTTCTGAAAGCATGTCAGTCGCAGAAGAAGGCTCCACACGGTAGGTTTGTACCTTGATGTTTGCCGACTGCAGGATGTGACGAGTGAGGTCTTGCAGTACAGCTCAAGCGCTGCTTAAGAGTCTGCGCGAGTCTAGGTCAGGGCGGCTGAGATTCTCAGCTCTGTGTGCAGCCCCACAAGCTGAGAGTCCGAGGTTTCGGATTCTAAACTAGGAGGTCTGGTTCTGTGCAATTCTGAACTTGGAGGTCTGTCAACTGGAACGTGTTGGTGTTGTAAACGCACACGACCCTTTTTTCACCAGTGGTGTCTAAACCAATACTTCCGCCGTACCCCTCGCCCTCTCTGACCTTTACCACCAGCCGCAACGCTGTCCAAGGATGGCTTCTTACTTGGCGAACTTGTTGAGAAGCTGGAGATGGTCAATGTGCAAACCTCAGAGGAAGCGAACTTTCCCGAGAAGCTCGCGCTGAGAGAAGCGCATGTTTCGGGTTGCAAGTGACAGCACGGATGGCTTCAGTCATCTTCAGTCTGTGCAGCATCGCAGGTTCGGGGCTTTGCACCGGAGAAGCTCGGTTCCTTCCTGAGTCATGGAGGCTTACATAAGTGTTGTATGTACAAGGAGAGGGTTGGTGCAAAAGATCTGAGCATTTGGGTGGCACAAATTTGAGAAATCGATGTGGCAGGTTGGTGTGACGGCGATAGTCCTTTGCTGGTATCCGACACTGACTGACACTGAGAGCTAAGGCTACAAAACCACGGAGAAGTTCGTCCGTCGCCAGCCTGAGGCAGTCTTAAGATATCGGAAGAAGGATCAAATGGTCCTCCCACCTCGTCGACGGTGATGGTCAGGCAGCACCTGAACATTGAGAAACATGTAACGTGATGGTGCGCAACCGTCCGAAGAAAAGCAGGTTGACTCGCCCATTGTTTTCACTCTTCAGATAGCTTTGAGTTAGATACGAAGAGGGAGACATTGATGCAATTGAGCCTGTGAAGCCAGAGCAGCCGCGGCCTTATAGTCACAGTAGATGTGGTCTTGTGCGGACATGCCCGGGCTCCTCAGATCCCGTCGGTTGAGGCTGGCAAGACGACAGCAATGATGGATGACAAGTAGAGCAGCAAGTGGACTCAAATACAGCTGATGTGACAGTGGCCAAATTGTCGGCCCAGTTGATGCCATGGCACAAAACTACTATGACATTCTCGGAATCACCCGAGATGCAACTGCCGAGGCCAGTGTCACCAGTATGGTGACCGGGCAAAAAGCAGCTCCTCCCTGTGCCAGGAAATCAAGAAAGCTTACAAGAAGGCTGCACTGACGCATCATCCAGACAAGGCCACCGACTGGACACATTTGCAGCCCCGTAATGCTACGACAAGTTGGAAGCAGATGCCTGAGGGTGGAGATCCGGAGAAGTTCAAAGAATGCGGAGCCGCTGTGGAGACACTTACTGACGATAGGCTCGGATTTGCATTTGTTGGCTGAGCTGTTGAACTGGAGTGCTTGCGGTCAGGAAGCGTGCCGCCTACGATTCAACGCTGATCCGTCTGCGCTCGAAGGATGGACTCGGAAGTGGCAGCTCAGACTTAAATACGCAATCAGCGAGTGTTTCGGATGGCTCCTCTTGAGCTCTTCCAAGCCGATTCCTCAACCAACCATCTCGCACGGACAACAGAAATGCCATAGCCCTTCCTGGTTGCAAAGCGTGAGAGCAAACCCTGCCCAAGAGGGTCCACACCGTCCTTGTGAGCGCGCTTCTATTAAATCCTCCGATGCAGAACAGGCCTAACAAGCCGGTCACTGGAGACGTCTGTCCACCCAGAAGCAGTTGGAGCCACGTTGCGAACGGCAGTTCAGGTCCTTTTCGCTTCAACCGCGACGCTTCCATGGAGAGGCCTCCAGCGCGGCCGGCGCCGCCAGCGCCGCCAGCTGCAGGAGTGAAGCTGCAGACATGCTCTCTTCTCTGCATCTCTCTGTTTGCTGTTCCGTGTGCGTGTATGCTTCTTTTTTCAGCTTCCACGCGGGCGCCCAGCGCAGCGGCACCTCCAAAGCCGCGTGCGCCGAGCGGTGCCGTGGAAATCCCTTCTGACCCAGGCTCGGGGCTCGGGGCTCGGCCCGTCTTTTGGGCGCCTTTCGTAGGCTTCGAAGGGCGGCACCCGTGTGTCGTTCAGTCTCAGCAGACCGCTCGGAGCGGAAGGCAGTCTCTCCATCAAGGAGCTCAAAGAATTGCTGACAGCACTGGGCATCGATCATGATGGCTGCCTCGAGAAGGCTTGCAAAGATAAGGTTTTGTTTTCCTGTCCCCTGTCCCCTGCGCTTGTGCCGTTCGTAAGGCAGACCTGTTGACACTGCTTCGGGACCGGAAGGACTTGCGTTGGTCTAAGGGCGAGGTGTATTTGTGAGGTTGCTTGAGAACCTCACTAATGGCTCTTGAAAGGAGCGTCGAGCAGGTGGGCCGTGAAGGGCTGTCGATGTGGCGGATGATTATTGAAGACAGATTTCAGACGCAGGCGATACCCCGAGAGAGGCGCCCTCAGCACCTGCTTCTGGAAGACCACAAGCGCCTTGTCGTGGCACGGGTCTTGTGGTGCTTGTGTCTGTCACACCTGCGGATGTGCAATGAGGCCCAGCCCACAAGCTCAGCAAGCTCAGCACAGTCTTCTACTGGTGCTAAAGCTTTGCGTGTGAAGATCATGTCCATAGGCCCCGCGCTCTGCATGTCTCATTCCCCTGCTGTTTGTGGCAGTTTGATCAAACGATCTTCGGGATTTGGAATGATGACTACTCGGCCTAAAGTTGCCGGACTGGAGACAAGCAGTCCATAAAGAGTGAAGTGGCCCCTACCGTAAGACAAGTCGCACGTGAAATCCGAGCGACCTTTGTGCAATTGCCATAGCGGTCCATCATACATGGTAGGGACATGCCTTCAAAGAGGTGCCGATGTCAATCCTGGCACAGGTTCCGCCACTGTTGGGAAGAGCACGCTGATCAAGAGATACTGCGAGAATCGGTTTGTGCAGAAATACATTCCAACCATCGGCATCGACTACGGCGTCAAGCCTGTCCGAGTTCTGGGGCACGAGTTGAAGGTAAACTTCTTCGACACATCAGGACCACGACTCATGCTACGAGTGGTGCCTGTCACGGCTATCGTTCTTGGGAACGTGGGCTTGAGCTCAAGTCACTTCCTTGCGGGTCAGGGATCCGAGGTGGCGACGGCTGGCTTCGGTAACCTTCTGCTTTTGGCACTACAAGTGTTGCGCACTGCAAGTCTTTTTTTTGGCCATGATCAAACCTGCAACACCTTCTGCCGCAGTAGTCGGCCACTTCTAGTTGACAGTCCTGAGCCCGAGGGATGCCAGCAGAGCAGGATATGGCTGAAAACTAGGCAAAGCGGGTGATTGGCTTTTGAGCCGGATAGACACAAACAAACAATCCAATCAATTTACCGAACCTCCCGAAGAACATGCAAAGCCTTCTGCCTGGCATGTATGCATCTCTGACGACAGTGTGGCAGGAGGCGAAGAGTTCCGGGACATTCGAACTGAATTCTATTCAATGGGTCAGTCAAACGAACCCCGGCAGAATGGCGATCTTCGGTTTCTTTTTGCTGGTGATCCTGCCGGAATGGGCTTGAGAGAGGAGTTCTGGAGCCGACATTTGAGGCGGTGCTCCTCGTTTTTGACGTGACGAACCGAAAAAGTTTCACTGACCTTCCCGCCTGGCTTGAGGACAGCATGCTTTGTGTAAACTGATGTGGTGCAGCAGCTGCGGATATGAACACCTTGAGAACTCACCCTGATCGAGGAGGCAAGTCGACACCAGTGCTCTCTGTTGCTTGGCTTGCTTCTGCGAGACCCAACCTCAAGCTACCTGGCCTAAAAGCTGCGAATGAGGTCTCGGTCGGACAAGACATCGACAGGTCCTCCAGCAGTGGCGCTCTGCGCCAACAAGGCGGCATTCCGATGTAAAGGGTTCTGACAAGTTTTGCCGGCTTACTCTGCCAGGTTGATCTCGGGAGGAGAGGGGTGACGAGGGCAGAGGGCGAGGAGTTTGCCCTTGCGCACGGCATGCGCTACTTTGAGACCTCTGCTGCAACCGGCGATGCTGTAACTGATGCCATGCATTTCCTCTTTGAGCAAGCAGTGCTGCTTGGATCTGGTATTCCGAGTATGTTCTTCTTTTTGTTGCTTCCTTTCGCGAATCGCTGAAGCACTTCTGTCCAATGTTAAAATGTTAGGCATTATGTCGTGATGCATCCCAGGAGCCACCATTTGGAGTTGGGCCGAAAGCTGCTCTGCTGCATGCGCACACTTCAAAACAGTCCTGCGTCGTGTCATGCTCCCACGACTGACCCAGTCCTGAGGATAGCTATGGCTGCTGGCTGATCAGCACCTTTCAATGCAAGTCACACCCCAGCGGTTTGCCTGCTATCCAAACTGTTTTCCAGTGGCCGACGGCAGTTTTGCAGATTGCTCTGCGCTGCATGCTAATGCCTGCACTGTGGGATTAACATGGTCACCACATTGCTCTCGTCTCACGCATGACATGCACCTTCGTTAGCAGCCAGCTGCCCAAAAAGAAACTGGCTTGGAGCACGTGAGCACAGACATGTGCAGGCACCTGTGCTTGAAATACTGTTGAACTCAAGCGTCTCCAACCCTTCTTGCACAGCCAAGTGCCATCAGTGTGCAGTCCGGCGAGAGCCCCAGCTTTGATTGACGGTTTCATCCAAGTTTGAGCTCCGGCACCCGTCGCCAGAGCCAGGTGCCCTGCAGATCATGGCCGGCCGAAAAGCTTCAAAGCTTATGTCTGCCTTCGCAGCAGGCGAACCGGCCCGTGCCACGAGCGCTTGGGAGCCTTGTGTTGTGAGGCACAGTGTTTGTTGACCATGGCTCCTAGAGTTGTCCGGGCAGGCGCTGTGATGCATTTGCTGATGAGCAACACCGTGTTCGTGCAGCCTGGACCAGGATCTGATAAGTCCTAGTCCTAGTATCTCACAGGCCGTAGCCAGGAACAGCATGCCTCGGCCTAGGCACGTTGATTCCAGCAGGTCGTAGACGCAGCAGAGCTTGTCCATCTCAGATGTTTCGTTTGCCTTTCGGCCTCCCTCTTTGCACTCGGAGTTCTGGGAAGACAGGACATCTGCAGACGTCACGAATCCTGCGTCCGGCTTTTGAGCAAGGAAAGGTGAACCTGGGCGTAGACGGATCAGCAGCTCGGTGCTGTTATACCTGCTTCGCAGCTTGTGTACCGTAGTTCACTTCAGCAAGCATAAGTGTATAAGTGCCAGGTCGTGAAGTCCAAGAACATGCCCGCACCGGTTCTAGAGGCGACAGAGGCAACAAACACTGCCATCAAGGACTGCTGGAAGCATCAAAAGATTCCGAAGTTCACGGTGTACGGTTGCCGTTTACTCGTTCTCTTATGTCGCCAGGAATGCTTGGAGGAAGGCTGCTCCGTTGATGCTTTGATGGAGCTGGACAAGAAGCTTGCCAAGGATGAGGACCTTCGTGGCAGATGCAGAGAGTCAGGGAAGCTGAAGCTGGCAGGTTCTCGTGCCTCTCCGCATGATCTCCATGTGCTTCCCCGGCACAGGCCACGATCAAGAAGAGCCTTGACAATCTGCACAGCTCGCAAGCGGAGGAGTACTCGGAGGCCTGGCTGCTCAGAGCCACGCGCAACCAGTGTCAGCATAGTGAAGCCTTTTGGCAGGAGGGCAAGGAGCAGATTGCATGGTTGAGCCCCTTGGAAGCAAGCCTGTCTGTAGACCTCGTGTGCCTGTGCTTGCGTTGGCAAAGGCAACTACTTGGACCGCAGTGGCAGCCTCCGCGCCCAACTTCAGGCATGTGAGAGTCTTCGTAGTCTTCGTACTTTCAGAGCATCCGGCAGCGAGTGGAGCAGTCTTGCAATTCAACGAGGCATCCCCGCACAGTGACTCAACTCAGGTAGTGTTCCTGTGTGATGGGACCACGCGATCTGACCGCCTTAGTGCGGGTGATCCAACAACACGCAAGTTATCGATTGGAGTATGCATTAGCAAGATGGGATAATGGGATTATGATGGGGTTATCGTGCTACAAGTCACAATCCAACATCCCTCCTCCTACTTATAGCCACTTAGGAGTAGCCATCTACTCGATTGACAGTGGGCCGGATGTGTTATTACGATAGTATAATCCCGAAATAGCGACACAGGTTGCCTTGCAGACTAGTTCTTTGTACACGCGTGTGCGTGGTATGTATTCTTCGGAGACCTCGATCATTCGGGAATTTGCAGGGCTAGTTGGAATGTAGCGGCGATGTAGTACTTATCCGCACTTGCCAGGAGCACAATGACAATTCTGCAGGGTGTTCCTCATGGCTGTAGACAATCTAACTGCAGACGTACAGCGCAACATCAAGGAAGTGAGCAGAGTGCAGATGTGTCCAATTGTCGACTGATGCTGCATCGCATGTGTAAGGCACAATAACAAGGAGAGGTCCATCTTGTGAGCAGTAGCCTGGCACAGCCGCGGGCATGTTCCCTGAGCCTGAGGCAGTCAAGACCTTGAAGGCTGAGGGAGACTTGGTTGCCCAGCTCGTGCGCGCTGCGTCAGTGGCCTTTGGCGGAGGGCGCAAGGGTGACTATCCCAAGGCCCATAGCATTGACCGAAGCAGTTGTCGAACTTGGGGTACTTTATTTTTATGTTGTTTTTGAAGTGTTTTTTTTGGTATGCTTTTCTGTTTTTTTAGCTGACGACAGAGGGCACAGGCAGGCATAGATAGACGACTGAAAGGAAGCAAGAAATCAAGAAACAGAGACAGGAAGAAAGAAGGAACCAAAGAAAGACAGAAAGAAAGAGACGCACACTGAAAGAAAGGAATAAAGAAAGAATCAAATAAAGACAGAAAGAAAGAACGATATCAACAAAGAACGAAGGAAAGAAATGAACACCGAAAGAGAGGAATAAAGAATGAGAGAAAGAAGGGAATGAAAGAACGCCGACGACAAAGAACGAAAGAAAAAATAAACACCACAAGAAAGGAATCAAGAAGGAGATCAAGACAGAACGAAAGAACGACCGAACGACATAAAGACATACAGGAAGTAAAGAAATCCAGAAAGAACGAAAGAAAGACAGAAACACAGAAAAAGCAACCACGAATGACAATCGGCAAAATAGCAAAAAGACATTCAGGAAGAAAGAAGCAAAAACAGGTACAAGAAATCAAGAAAGAAAGAACGACAGAAAGAAGGACAAGCAAAGTAAGAACGAAGGAGAGAAAGAAAGAACGACAGAAATAACCAAATAAAGACACAAACAAAGACATAAACACAAAGCTAAAGCAAAGAAATAATCAGAGAGAAGAAAGAAAGACAGAAATAATCAGAGAAAGAGGGGAAGCAAGAAGGATATAAATAAAGAATGCAAGCAAGAAAGAACGGAAGAAAGAACCAACTAATAAACAAACACACAAGTAAATCAAGAACGAAATCAATCAATAACGAAAGAAAGAAATCAATAACCCAAGAAGCAGAACGAACCAAGGAAATAACGAACAAACTGCACAACGAAAGACTGCCAGCAACAGGCATGCTAAAACCAGTCTGAGTGTCTGTTAAGTGTGTGTGTGTGTGTGTGTGCGGAAGGCAAAGTCATGTCTGCCCTCTCTCCTTTCTAAGCTTGCACGCGAACGATGCTAGTTGACACATGAACAGACCTCCCCAGGCATGCTTCGCAAACAATAAACTCCCTGTGCGTGTCTTGCTCCAAATCACAACCTGCCAGCAAGACAGAACTCATATAGATCGTTTCACAAACAGACGTTGCGGTTGCTGCGCCCCCCCCCCAACCCCCCCGCTTTCTTTTTTAGCCGTGCTGCGGGCTGCGGGAGGCGGGTCGTCTCGGTCGCGGGCCAAAGACCACGGCCCGTCAAAAGTTGGGGGGATGTTCACCAGATGTGCAGAATCTGAATTGGCAAATGAGGAGGCTTGTTCAGAGGTCACGATATGTGATGAGAGGGGGAATGTAAGATATGTACTTGTATCGCCAAATAATGAAGAGGCGTGTTTAAGATATGTGATGAACCGGCACCACCACATGAGGGGGCGTGTTCAAGCTGCATGATGAAGTCGGAATCGCCAAATGCGGGGATGTGCCTACGAAAGAACGATGATGACCCGGAGTCGCCCTGCAAGTTGCAATTCCCCAATAGACTGATGCAAGACAGCAGGGAGCCTTCAAATTGATAATTCCCCAGATGCTTGACTCAGAGAAAGACCCTGCACAATTGTAATTTCCCTATAGCTTGACACGGCACTATACAGGAGCCTCGAATTTAATACCGCAATAGCTTTGGCAAGACAATACCTTGCAAGTCGTAATTACCCATCAGCTTGACGCAAAGCACGACCCTGCCAGCTGCTTACACAATGTGCTTCATCAAAGGGACTCTCGGTCAGGCCCTCTGACGTCACATTTTGCTTGCGCGACCGCAAACAGTCGCATTCCCTGAACTCTAGAAGCCCCAATGCCTGAGCCATAAACTCCATAGGATCAACTAGACATGTCATGATGGTATCGAGAAGCACTGCGCATTTCATCGCGGCTTGTGCAACAAACCAATTTATGGATATGTGCTACGTTGTGGCAGAAGTTTAGAGTCGGTCGGCTTCTCGGGACGAGCTAAGAGGTCTTGAAAGCCTGGAAACCGAAAAATTGACAACGCAAAACAGAAAAATGCACAGAGACAACAATGAAATTACACAAAAGATGTCCAGGCAGAGGCAGAGGACAGTCACGGCCACCAGGCTATGTTCCGAAAGTCGCGGAAAACACACCCAGAAGCAGAAAAACTGACAAAAAACAAGCAGGAAGATACACATCGAAATTGCTGTTGTGTTCCAGCTTCCAACTTGTGCAGGTTGGCGTGTCTCCATATTCTTCATGAAGCTTGAGACCCTGAGAGGCTGCAGCGACATTTTTGCCAGTGTAGTGTGTGGGGTGTCTAGGCAAGACCTTTACCTTTGGAACTGTCAAAGAATTGGACACTCCCCTGCGCGTAGATGACGAGACTTCTTGCCGTGAGACGGCCGGCCGCGTTGAGCATCCTTGGCAGATACTGTAGTTGTGCTCTCATCTATGGGCCGGCTCCGAAGCGGACAAGGGTTTCGCAGCCCAAGTTTGACATGAGGCACGGCTGCTGAGAGAACATGCATGTTTAGGTCGGGCCTGCGAAACTTGGGCTGCATGCTTCCTAGATCGATCGTATTGTGGCGAACTTGAAAAGCATTGAGCCATGTCTACGCACAGACCCAGAGCTGCCTCGTACGAGCTTCAGCTGTGATTGGAATTGGGACTGCTATTCTTGCGAGCTCAGGTTGAACGTTTTGCATCAAGGGGCGAACAGAAGAGCTGCTCTTAGCTAGTGCCAGCATTTCATGTTTACTGGGCTTTGTCTGACCTCCGCCTTTCTGGGCGTTTCGGCACAGCACTGCTTTGTATCGTAGTGTTTGAGCCTCGTGAACTTTCGAAGGCACCACGCTGAGTTGCATGAAGTGTTTCCCTGTCGAAGAGCGGTTTAACGCGCATTGGATGAGGACAAATGGCTGCGAAGCGCAGTCTGCGGGTGCTGCCACTGGCTTTTGCAGGTCAGCAGTGTACCAGCTGGCGTCGTACTCATCACTGCTGGAGATTTGTGCAGGTGTGTTGTGGCTCTGCCGCTCATCCCTTTCTCTTCTAGCAGGTCCTCGTGATCACCGGGCCCTGGGACCCGCGGATCTTCATCTCGACAGATGTCTTTGCGCCAGGCGCTGCAGCACCTTTGTCTTTCGCCTTCCCCAGGCCTGCATGCCTGCGCTGTCAGAGTTACTTTCAGCGCCTCCCGTCTTGGTGTTGCCGGAGGGCCCGAGATGCCGAGAAGATGCGATTAGCCAAGTACGAGACCGTGGGTGCCTCAGCCTCGCCGCTCGCACGATAAAGATGCAGTTTACGGGTTTGGGGGATCAGGCAGACGGTAACCCAGTCAATGCGCTGCAGCTCGGAAGCAAGCTTTATAGCTTCATCGACGCTCTGATGAGTGCAGTTGTGTTGTCATATTCCATTCTTTCTCCAATGATGTTCCTCTGCTTCTTTACGATCCTCTACAACATCCATATCATAATCTCGAGGAAGGGTCGCAGAGGGCTGGAAAGGGACTGGCCAGTGGCAGTGGCAGCCGCTGTTGAAATATGCGCCAAAGATCATGTGTAAAACGCTGCGATTTTGCATCGTCGCTTGATTCAATGACCCTCCTGAACAAGAGCACTTTCTGGGCCAGGATTCAGAGCCACGATACCAGGGCAAGCATAATTACCCGGAGAATCTGCAGTGGTGGCGGCTCATGTGGCTGCCGATGGAAACGCTGCACACGCCCTGTTTCACCGAACGGCAAAATGCGCACCCAAGCCATGGGGAGTGCAGGGATGTCGAGCCACTACTGATGTAGATGCGGACGTTGCCGAACGTCGGAACGCTTCTTTGGTGCCGTAGGCTTCACATCTTGTTGCAAACTCTGAGGAATTCCGATGGCCCAATGGAGCGATACTTGATGATTGAAATGTTCTTTTCATCCAGGCTGTGCTGGACTTGTGTTTGCCATTTGCCAAACTACCCCGAGCAGAAAACAGATGAAAACAGATTACAACCATACGGCCTAGTTGAAATGAGCAGCTCGATGTACAGATGCTGAATAGCAGTCGTTCGATTCAGTCGAGAAGATGCTGAGAGCGATACCCGCAACGCGGTAGTGAAACCACTCGGACGATGACCAGACCTGACTATGTCTGACTTGAGATGTTACCCACGCTCTTTTCTTGTTCATGCTCGTTTTTTTGGTAAGTGTGTGTTTTATGCATCGCCAGCTCTCCCACTTTGTTGAACCAAAGCATTAACGCATTGTGCCGCCGGCCCGTGAAAGGTTCAAGCCACAGAAAGACGATGAGGACGAGGACAGCCTGGAGGAAACCACAGAAGAAAAAGTGAAAGCTGGCGCTGTGGCTTGGCTCGGTTGGCTTTGAGAGAGTCAGAGTTTTGCTCGGCTGCGCCGAGATTCTATCGTCCTACGCTTTGGCCTTCGTGCCGCTGGGACAAAGACGGCTAAGAGACCCCCCGTTTCTAGAAGGGAAAGCGAAGAACTCTTGCTGGCGGCTGCGACAAAGGATCCCGTTGGCCTTCCTGGCGGCCGTCATCCTGTCAATTTGGACGCCCGGCTCCGACGTAGAAATCGGAGTCCGGGCCCAAGGCCCCTGAAGCTGAAAAACGGGCTTCCCCCTTTGCTAATAAGCAGGCATCGAAGAGTTCCCCCTACCGCAGCATGGGGGCGATCTCGCGGTTTGACGACGAGATGGACAAACAAAGGCCATCCGCCGCATGCTGCATGATCTGGTCCGAGACTTTGCGTGCCAGGAGAGACTACGAGAATCGCCCAGAAAAGGAGTACTGAGGCGCTTCGAAGCACGGTTCTTACGTCTCCGTCTGAGCGTGAGCCTGGCCGTGGTTCCGATAATGGTGCTGTGCAGCAGCCCCGCACTTGTGTGCCTGGCATGTGCCAACACTCCTTCCACTTTATGTACTGTGCGCGCACTTAGTGTTGCTAACCCCCGAGTAGACAGGTAGCATTTCTACATCTTTCGACCCCTTGTGCATGCCACAGTTGCAACTCTTCTGACCCAGCTACCGGTGCTCGTACTTCGAATTCAGAAGTCGGCCGGATCAGCTTGCGACTCGACAGGGGTACCTGGGAGGAAACATGAACCCGATATTGCGTGAAGCCGTGTTACCATTGCCAGCAAACGAAGCGTTGACACGGTCGTTCTTTTGTCCGACCTGGGCTCAGTGAATTAGCAGTTGGTGAACTATCCTACGCCCACAAGATCATCGTGAACGCCCGTGTGTTCAGCAGGACAGGACTGCAGCCATTCCATGTGATGCCACACTTAAGGCTTAAGCGGCCCCAGAGCCTAGCACTCCTTCTGGATGCATGGAGAGCAGTGCTGGCAATGAAGCTGGCTTGGAGCCGGACGTACGTCAGCACCAGGACTCCAATCGCAGAGCCTACCGCACCTCAAATACCGTTATTGACGAAGGATGAAGAGCGACGGACAGACAGACTTGCCAAAGAGCGAGTTCGGCAGATGTACTTCGGAAGTTGCATGCTCCCCGTCTTGGCCAATGTGACAGTCAATGTTTCCGAAGCAAATTTCGAGGCTTCGCTTCGGCAAAGTTTGGCGCCATTGCCGACGATTGCCGGCGTGGCAGCGCTTCCTGCTGTACCTTGGCTTTCCTTCGTCCATAAATCGACCTGTTCCTCCTCTTGGCTCCGTCAGCTCTCGCCTTGTCTCCACTCTGCTGTGCCGCGATGCGCCTCCACTGACATTGTCAGGTGGTGCGTCGCTTGGTTGGCCTTCTTGCAGCTTGCCGATTCTGGGAGGCCTTATATACGTATATGGTTGACATGCTGCGATCTTTCGAGTCGTGACGTTGCTACCTGAGGGTCGCTCTCTCTCTCTCTCTATATATATCTCCCTCTCTCTGTCTCTCTTTGCTCTTGCCATGTTCTTGTCTGTCCTCGTCCTCGGTCATGGGCACGGGCGTTCACTCGTCTGGGGGAGCTCCGCCTGTCGAAGCTCTCTGCCACACCCTCATGCGTCTGACATAGCCGGTATCCATTTCATTACCTTCAGTGTTATCATCATAAGCATCATCGGCTTCATTGTCGAATCGATCAACTCGCAGGTGCCATCACAAAGGGTTTCCGTCGTGCTGGCGCTGTGTTGGCCCTCTTTTGGGGATCGGCCGGCGAGCATGCCGATCTGATGTTTACCAAGGTCCGATGAAACACCCAAGACATGCAAACATGCCCTGGACATACTCGCAACATACTGAACATATCTACACTTCTGTATACAAGCGCGCACTCGAATGCGGATCTGCTCTGCATCCGGCTCTGGTCCTGGTCCGTTCTTCCGTTTTCGACCAGGGCCACCCGAGCCCGGACTGCTTCTCGCCACCGGACAAAACAGAGCGCTTCGCTTCTGCTACTGCCGGGCTAGTAGGCTTTACCGCTACTGCTCGCACGTTAGCCTTTTTGGCGGTTAAGGAAACGGACTGTGCACTGTGAACGGGCATACGTACACACGGCCGAACGTGCATGAGGTAATGCATGCATGCATACATGCCAGCAGTGTACATGCTGACCTACACGCCCAACTTGCTATGTGTGCATGTCTGCGCGCACAAGTGTATATATGTATGTCTGTATGCATGCATGCGTGTAGTGTCTTGTATGCACACGTTTGAAAGTCTGTGGGGTGTTTACGCTGTAGATATAACTGGTAGTTTTGTGGACAGTCAGGCGATGCACATACACTCTCTTTTTGCTTGAGTTTGTCTGCATGTTTAATGATTCAATTTTGTGCTGCAGCGGCTAGCGTGCTGGTATCGATGTTGCACAAATAAACTTCAAATTAGTTCGGCAGTCGAACCCAGCAGGTCTAACGGGCCGTCTAGTTGGGCGATGATGGGAGTGACAGGCTCCGTCAAGGCCAGGCACGCGATCACGATTTGCGGCTGCATACAGGCTGCATGATGCCTTCCAGGCGGGAGCATCGGAGCCTAGAGGGCCAAGCATGCTGGTGGAGGCGAATTAGTTGCATTCCTTGCGGCCCTTGATGTCACCGCAGGGTCTTGCACAGCCTGTGTTTCCAGCCTTGTTGCATGCGCCATGAAGCCGCGGAGGCTAAGCCGAGGACGCCGACCGAAACCAACCGGCCTTTCGGGGAAGACAAGGACTCTCCTAGTAAACAGACAGTCTTACGTGACCCCGGTCGCCACTACGTTGAGCCTGCAGATGTCAGCTGTGGCCGACTGCGCTGCAGGACGGGATGGTCAGAGGAGCAGGCAGCACGGCAGAGGAGGAGGAAGAAGACGACGACGATGAAGATGGAGACGAGGACGAGGATGGGGACGAGGATGACGACGACGATGATGCGGACGATGAAGGCGACGGTGACGACGAAGACGAAGACGAAGAAGAGGATGACGATTTGGAAGAAAAGCCACCAAAGCAGGACCTGCCGTCATGTCGGATTGGGGCTTTCTCCAGATACCTGGACAAGAGATGACTGATCCCTGCCATGAGGTTTGTAGGCGCAGAATTGCCGAGATGAGAAGGGAAAACTGAACTTTGTATTGAATGTTGAATGCAGGAGAGAATGATCGATGAAGGCCGTGGCAAGGCAGAGGAGAACTCTTGGAAAGCCACGAGCTCCGATGAAACCCTGCAGGCCCCCTTGATATCACATGTCCCTGCTCGTCAAGAAGTGGAAGTTCTCGCACCGTCATTATGTGTGGCTTCATGTACAGTAGCGATGCCCCGCATGCTGAATGTCACCATGCGCATTTTTTCACAGTTGTGTTTTTTCACCTCAGTCTGAAAGACGTCATGGAAAGCAACCAGGAAACCTCACAGAAACCACGCGTGGATAATTAAAACTAGTTCGGAGCAACCCTGAGGTTGAGCCGGTTAAAGATATCTTCCCATCAAAGAATGCGGCACGCCTCTGTTGTTGATGCTGTGCACCCTATCTGGCGGTCCATCCCGGATGTCTACGTGCCGTGACCGTTGCTGTGACACATCCTCTCCAGAGGAATTCACTGGACATTCATGATGTGTATTGCCTTCCATTCCTCTTTTTGAGGCGTTGTCCGCCAGCTTATTAAATATGCTTATAGCTTCCAGATTTGGTTTGTGGCAGGCGACTGCAGGTGCTGGTGCACACTAGCACGCTCAGACCAAGAGATCCAAGAGCGAGGGATGAGGGAGTCAGGGGAGACGCAAAGCAGAGCCAACACCAGAGCAAAAGGTTGCAGAAGCATAGGCCAGGAACTTTCGAAGTGCACTTGTGGAGGCTGGATCTTGCTCGCAGCCAACGAATTCCTCAACTGATGCTGGGAGCTCGTTGTGAAGCGTGCCACAGTAACAGGCACTTCATACCAGTATCTCTTCTTGGTGAGGTTTGCTGCCGCGGCGCTGTGGCGCGGATTCAGACCACAGCCAAGCTGAGGATGCCGGGACGTGAGCGGCATGCTCCGGCAATGAGTCGTGAGGTTCAAGTTTTGGTTCTTTGTCGAACAAGGGCTTGTTTGCAGCCGAATCGATTCGGTTCCATGGTTCTGCGAAACGAGGGGCGGCGGGGCAAGGGCCCAGCCTGCGAGCATTGCACTTTGAAGCGTTAGCGGAGTGGGCTTGTTTGAGCTGCGCCAGATTCCAGGAGTTTATATTTGCAGTCTCCACGAAGCCCGACGAACCTCCAGAGCTGGTGGTCTCAATTGGCGCCTTCCACAGCAAGGTCGGGGCAGCTTTCGTTGCTGCGTTTCCTCACTTCCGTATCTCATTCAGAAGCAACATCATTGCATGGGACCTCTGCGCAACTGCGCTACCCTTCCTGGTCCTGGGTTATGTCTGCTTGCACGGAACTAAGAGTAGAAATTTTCGGAGAAGCACATGTGTATTCGTAGTGCATACGTATACACGTCGTACATATATACTGTATATGAGTCTGATGTGTATGTATATCAGTGTACATGTAGGCGTATTTATTTGTTGGTGTGTATTCATGCGTATATGTTTGTAGGTCCGCATACGTATGTATGTATGTATGTATCTATGTTGACTGTAGTGCAGCGGGTGAAAGTGAAAGTTGACTGTTGTGACCGTGACTAGAGTTTATTTTTGATCTTGGACAATCTGCCGAGATTGTTGGTGTGCTAGGGAATCTCCGCAGTGTCTGAAGCCTCCCCTGCATTGCCGAGTGCGAGTGACAAAAATGTATGTATGTACGTATGTATGTATCAGCACATCATTGTTTTGTTAGTGGACGTGGATGCGGATGTGGACATGATTACGTTCAGGTTTTCGGAATGCGCCGTAGCTAATGTCTTGCTACTGTTCCAATGTGAACAGTGAATTGTGTTGTAGCCCTCCTAACCCTCGTCTGACTTGTCGAGCACGAGTGACAAAAATGTATCCATCCGGCAAGGTGCTTGACAACTTAGGCACGTGAGGGAGGACCGTGGGCAACAGGTGTCAGCTATGTATCTGCACATGGGTAGGGCTGTGACTGCGAGTGAACCTGGAAAGCTGGATGACAGCTGCATGCTGGCTGTGTCACGCTGAGAAACGGATCGGATTCCAGCCGTGAAGTGGGGCATGTAGTGAAGTGGATGTGGACAATGTGCTCGAGTCGCTGATGTTATGCTATGGCAAACCTTGGAAGCTTTGAACTCAGATGCGATATGATAGTTGCGATGGTTCATGCCAGAAGCAGGTCAATGTGCCTGTGTTGTCGAAAGTAGACTTCCTGAAACCTCGTCTGACTTGTCGAGTGCGAGTGACAAAACTGTATGGATGGATGCATGGATGGATGATGCAGGGCTGCCACACCCGGCACCGCCCTAACGGGTTGGTAACATACCGACTCAGTGCAGATCGAAAGGGCGCAAAACATCGGCCGCATTAATTTGCCTTTGTCTGCAAGTTGTTTTCGCTATCACAAAGTGATACTCCTACGACGGTCTAGCGACTAGTCTTTCCTTCCATCGCCTTCGCCTCCACCGTTGCACTAAGATGCGCGAGGGGTGTATTTTGTGGAAGATGTAGCTAGTCGACCGTACCTACCGTCGTATCGTGGCTCAAGAAAAATGTGCTTATGCATTCTGGCTGTTCTGCCTGTAAACATAAATAGGTACCATTAGAGTATACTATGAAGCCCTGTTCGAGGCCCCTGTACTGGACACCCCTTGATCTTTGAAACCCCATGCTCAGAGACACCCAAACCCGGGACTCCGGGACCGTAGTAATTAGGGGCACCATACCGATGATGGTCAAAATCCTGGATTACCTTAAGGACCTGAAGCTATGGGAATTATGGCACATTCCTTATTATTATGGGTAACGCAGGACTTATATCATCAACCTTAAACCCTGAACCTTAATAAAACCCTCATAGATCCCTTTACAGGACCCTTCGTATCATCTTGCTGAAGCCCCGGGAGGCCTCGTGCAAGAAGCTGTGCACCACAGTGGACTCGCCTTACAGCCGGGGACTGAAGAACGACTGAACCACAAACCTGGACAGGGTCTATAAGTGCACGACTGCAAATTATTTTGTCTCACCCGGTTTCTCTTGTGAGGTGTGGTTCTGTACAAGCTTAATTTACGAGCTGTCGCTTCTGGCTGTTTCCGTGCGCCCAAGGTCTAGGTTGTTTCATAAAGCCTAGACTTTAAGCATTTAAGGTCTGTCTTCTGAAGTTTTGCTTGCAACTTCGCAGCCTGGCAGTCCCCGGCGCAGTGACGGGGCCACACGAAAGCATCATTTCGCGGGATTCCCACAAAGCATTAGTCTGATGTAATATGAGCTATAGTCAAAACTCCATAAACTGGAGGCCAACTCCTTGGTGCAGAACATTAAAAGCCCCAAGAGAGGACGGCCCTCCCTGATCTTCGGAGCTGCGGGCATGCGCTCGCCATGCTGAGCGGCTGGGCCCGGGGCCGTTCAGTCATTCACAGGGTAGCAATTCTGTCATGCCACTCTGCTTGCTGCTATGAGCCGCCTCTTATAATATGCACTCCGTGTGCGATGGCCCGCATGGAGGTGTCTCTCAGCCTCTCTATGGTGCGGGGAATGGTGGAAGCGGTGCCAGTCCTTCTGGCGATGGGGGAAGCGCGGGCGATGCATCTCTTTCCTCCAATGCATCCGACGCGAGCTCGGTAGCACTTTGGCCTGAATGCGTGCCTGCCACATGCCCGTCTACTTTCCTGGACTGGCCTTCGCAATTTGGGTGGGGAGTATCGCAACAACCAGACCCGCTGTCTACACTTGCGGCGGAGCGAAGGCGGCCGCCACCCGATTCCCAGAGTCGGCCGTTGGCAATAGGCTCTGCTATGGCAGCAACAAGAGATCAGCTACGATGTCCTCTGGAGTGTGTCCTGATTTGGGCGGTCTTCTGCCTGCCCCTGCTGAAGGAGTGGAGCCCGTCCTTCCCATGCCTTGCACGCTGGAAGCGCGGGCGATGCATCTCTTTCCTCCAATGCATCCGCCGCGAGCTCGGTAGCACTTTGGCCTGAATGCGTGCCTGGACTGGCCTTCGCAATTTGGGTGGGGAGTATCGCAACAACCAGACCCGCTGCCTACACCTGCGGCGGAGCGAAGGCGGCCGCCACCCGATTCCCAGAGTTGGCCGTTGGCAATGGGCTCTGCTATGGCAGCAACAAGAGATGCAGCTACGATGTTCTCTGGAGTGTGTCCTGATTTGGGCGGTCTTCTGCCTGCCCTGCTGAAGGAGTGGAGCCCGGGTCGGCGGTGCGTGGTCCTTCCCATGCCCTGCACGCTGTCTCTGGGGAGCACCAGTGCTTGGCGCGTGAGGCAGACCAATGCCCGCGGACTACGTCACCCGATGTCCCCTTGACTCCAACACAACTGTGGGACGAGCCCATTGTGCTCGGCTTGCCATTCTTGGGCTCGGGCCTCTACCTCTGCACAAAAGCCAGCCGCTGTTCCGACCATGAGGCCTTGACTTCTTAGCATCGTCCTCACCGTAGCTTCTAAGCCTTCTAAGCTTGTCTCACTCTGCTTCGCGCTGGACGCGGCCATAATTCGCTTGCCTTGTCTTGTAGTCCAGTCCATGCTTCCAGAGCGAAGTGTAAACGGCATTGTGCGCAGACGTGCCAGCGGTGACGGAGCACACAGGTGTATAGGTATAGGGTTAAACCCTTCCATGTGTCGCGTGAACGTGCTGACCTCATGTACTTTCGGCTGTGCGAGCACACGTCCACACGGCAGCGGGGTCTGGTGCATCATGACCCCCAAAGCCGACTGGGCGATGATTCAGCAGCCTTCCGCAAATGGAGAGGGTTGGGATGTTGCTGTGCTGAACAGCCAGCAGGCATGCCGTGCGGTTGTCGAGGAGTGGCAGACGAGTCGCCGTATCCGGGCCAATATCAAGCCGGGCACGTCTGCGCCAGGGGTCAGCCAGGTTTTCTACAGTTACGGCAGCGCAGAGACCCAGTGTACCTTCTCCTGGCGGCATGAGTTCTCCATCGAAGGCCATGCTGTGCACACGCGCGGCAAGCATGGCGACAAAGAGAAAGCGAAGTATGGGCAGACATGCCAGTAGGCGGCCAGGGCCAAGGCCAGTGCGGATGTCCCACCACTCCGTGCGATGACGAACTTGATTCGCGACCGAGTTCGAGAGGAAGAGTGGCCAACCATGGGGGCGTTGTGTAGCGCCAGGAAGCAGAATTTGCAAGCTGGCAAGGGCACGGGCTCCTCTGCAGACTACCGCCTGGGCCAATGGAAGACTTTCATTCGCTCTGCTGCGTTCGTGCCCTTCGATCTGAGAGCTTCTGAGGCTGCTGCCTGGAAGTGGAGCGCTTGGGAGGCAGACTCCGACCGGGGCCACTGTGTGTTCAGTTGTCCTGCGCTTCTTCGTCGAGCCGCGGAGTTTGCTGTCTTGGCCGCCGAGGGTGAAGCTGAAGGCGTGTATGCCACGATGGACCCCACGTTTCTTGTCCACACTCTGTGCTCGCTTGTTCATAGCCGAGAGTCAGTTACGCTATTTTGCCTTTCTGCCGTGAGCCTCTAGATCTATGTAACTGTGTTGCGGCCGCAAGGTACAAGCTGTTTGGTCCGGACTGGGCGCTCCATTGCTTGGGCTTTGGCGCCTTACACTGGGACGGGAGGACCAAGGAACAACCTCGCACCACTTTCTTGCCAGTCTTTTTCGCCGTGATACCCACGGAAAAATCGACCAACGTGAAACTTGTTCTGGAGACCATGTCGGCCGTGGCCGCAGAGGAGCTTGGCCTCGACCTGGGCATCTTGCTACACCAACTTCACACAGGTGGAGCTCCGGGAAGCATGGATGCTGCCAGACAGGTGTGGCCACGGGTCCAGCTCATGCGCGACGTCCGGCACGTCATGGAGAACGTTCTCGACTGTGGGTGTGGGGCTGTGGACCAGGGTGCATTGCTGCATCACCGGATGTTCCGTGCCATTACTTGGTTGTTTGGTCTCTACTCTTTGGCTTCCGCAGCTGCTGAATGATCTCCCTTTGTTGCTGAATCACATCCTCGAGGCTGTTCATCTGCCCTTGCATCCTATCGAAGTCAGTCTTAGCTATGGTGAGCATTTGTTCGCTCCTTTGTTGGGCTGCTTGGGCCACCATCGTTGCTTGCCTTGCTTGAACAACCTCATGTTCGGCAACAAACCTGGCTTGCGTCACCTGCCTTTGAGCTTCGAGCTCTTCGGCTGCTCGGGCTGCAACTTCTACGGTCTGCCTTCTAGCTATGTTGACTTCATTAGCGGCTTGTTGAACTACTGCAAAGGCTTGTGCTTGGACCTCAGGATCAAACGCAACCTGCATGACGTTCTGTTGAATCCGAACGCCCCGGTTAAGGGTGTTGGTTTGATGCAAATGCAAAGCTTGGTCTCTAGACTGCGTAGTGTGATGCTGATGCGCATGAACCTGGCGTGTATGAGGAATCGGAGATGCGCCTGGGGATGTCTCAGTTTGCATATCCGTTTCGGGTGATCCCAGAAAGCTACTAAGGTGCTGAGGCGAAGATGGTTGACCCTGATCACGTGGGAGGTGCGAGTCCGCAACACTCCCTTGAGAAGCCAACACCAAAGCCGTGGATGGTTGATCCGTCGTCACCCCGTGAGCCACAGCATTCAAGGCCCGAATCCCCGAAGAGCTACTTTCAGAAGTGCCATCTTACTCTTTCCTCACCTCCCTTCTTAAGGTAGGATCGTTTTTCTCACACTCGATCTGCTCGAGAGCTTCGTGCAGGAACTTCCGCCAAGGAACCCCTTCCGGAGGCCAATCGTGACGGCCTGGCACGTAGATGTGGCAACTTGGACACCCTGCCGAGTTCGCCTCAACAATGGTAGGCAATGATCGTTCACCAAAAAAGCCGAGGCCAAAGGAGCTAGCGATCTGATCGTAGCAATTTTGCCTCTGTGCCCGACTTTGTCTGGAGTGATAAGGACCTTGTCCAGCCATTCCTCGGAGCCCTGCGTGGAGTCAAGAGAGCGTAGCAAGCTTTGCAATGTGGCATCGGCGTTCAAGTGGGATAACAGATAAACCTTGGTTCCTTCAAATATCCGACGGCACTCGCGCCAAAAATGCACAGACTCAGGAGGAAGCTCGCGGCCCTGGATCGGCCTGGGTCGTGTCACGGATCTATCAAGACACTGGTGGAAGTCGATGAAGAGCATCCCTGCTTCCGAAAGTGTCGGCCTCAAGATACGATTCTCCTCCACCCAATGTCCAGAATATCCAAAAACGCGGACCAGCTCCGGCAGAAAGACAAAAGTCGGCCTAAGTGCTTGACGCGGAACCGGTGGCCTGCCTGATGAAGACGACAGTCGCGGAACAGGAGACCTCGATCTTGGTGATTCAGATTCGTCTAGGTCAACAAGAATAACTCCTGCACGCAATGACAAAGATGACTCGCCCTCAGGCTGCTCAATATCCTCAGCCTCCGCGCGTTCACCTGTACCTGAATCTTCCTCTGCGCTCAAAGTCTGCCAAGAAGGATCAGTACGAGGTACGTTTTCCGGCCAAGGTGGGCGACCTGCAATGATATCGCGGAGGAAAGTGACACGTTGGCTCCCTCCTCTTCTACCACCTCGTTTCCAAGGGACGCTGCTCCAGAGCCACTCCGGGATGTCGTCTGGACGCTGAATGGTGGCAACGATAGAAACGCGCTCAAGAGACAGGAAATCGTAGAGACAATACGGCTGATAACCAATTGAAATAAGGATGAAGTCAGAAAGACGGTATCCAGTAATGAATCCTCGCACGAGTGAGACTGTTTGCTTTACTCTGCTAAAGGGTGCTTGAGCCAAACGGTTTTTGGTTAGCAAACGTTCACTGCAAGACGTGCCCTACTCTCTACGGCAACTTCTGTTACCTGTGAGAAGCAGATAGACAAGCTCATGAACACATGCACTCATGGAACGAGGGAGTCTACCTAGAAGAATCTCCTCGGAGCGTTGCCGCTTCTCGAGGAGACCACCTGGCATCAAGAGTACAACAGGCCAGTTTAACCCATTATTCTTCTACTGTTTCTGCGTGTACATCCAACACATCCGAAGAACTAGCCTCTGTAGTAGTTCCCCGATGCCTTGTCGGGTCTGGAGCCTTGGCCTCAAAGCCCTGAACTTCAAGACCTATCCGTAAACCCTATAAGCTATATAAATTGGAATCGCTGGTGGTCTGTTTAATAGAGGGTGTCTGTCCTTGTGTTTTCTGGCCTCAAGAATCGTGACGAAAATCTCGAGACCTATTCGGCCCTTCGAACTTTGAAGCCCAGCGGCACTTTACTATCGTTCCGACGCTTCGGGACGGTTCCGGACGGTCTGGACGGTTTGATTTGGGGCTGTTGCTGGACAGGGTCGGCGGCTTTCATATGGGATGTGGGCTTGCGTGGGCTGTGTCCCCCACGCAGCATTCGAGCACATGGTGTTCTCTGGCTTGGAAATCACTCCACATCGGGAACGCCTTCAAATTCATGGCTGCCTTCGCCACGCAGTGATGGTATTTCTTTCTGTTATGGTGGGCAGGTGTTGTGCCTCCGCTTCTGCATTGGGCCCGTCGCAGCGGGCCAGTGCTGGACGAGTGGGCTTTTCTGACAAGACTTTCAGTCTTCACTGTGCAGCTTCGAAGCTCTGTGCTGTGCAACGTGGCTGAAACTCTTGCTTCGCATGCGATGGTCTAACCTGAAAGTGGCCACAGGCGCTCATAAACAACTGTTGCTGCAAGGGGAGTGTGCATGCTTTGGTGTCCCGTCAGAAGAACTGAAAAGGATCTTGAGAACGTGCAGTGCAAGAATGAGGAGGTATTCTTGCAGATAGGTCTTGGTTGAAGAGGCATCCGCTCCAAATGGTGAAGAGGCCAAGTCGAAAGGTTCGATGCCCACGTATGTCAGCATGCCATCCTAATGCTCGCTGTTGCTGGCCTGCACATTGATTGCTCAAGGAGCAAAGCCTAGCTTAGCTGGTCTTTTTGTTGCCCCGCCCTCCCACCCGGCCTTTTCTGGCAAGACTTTCAGTCTTCACTGTGCAGTTTCGAAGCTCTGTGCTGTGGAACGTGGCTGAACTCCTGCTTTGCATGTGATACTGGCTGAAACTTGCGTGCTTTGCATGCGACACTCTATCCTGAAAGTGGCCACAGGCGCTCATGGAAACTGTTGCTGCAGTGGAAGTGTGCATAAAATTAGTCTTGATGTTCAAACTTTGAGGCCTGCTCCAGCCGGGTATATGTGGGCCTGGTGTTGCCTCCATTGCGACTCGGAGGAAAGTGAATGCATCCAAGTTGGTCCGAAAGATGGGGTGGCGCCGACTCCGGATGGCCTGGTGCTAGTCACCTTCCTTCAGATGAGGAGGGTCCCCGTGGTGTTCAGCAATTATTCCCAGCCTGGCTTCATTCAAGAGAGTCGGCGGAAGTGCCCGACGGCGAAGGATGAGACCAACAAGAAAGCCGATACATGCTGAGCCGGGGCCGAGTCTGGCCCCTCAGGTGCCCGTGTCCTTGCAATTGACTACAACTCCGTCGGGGACAGATTCAATGAATGGCGCCAGGCTGCGCTTGAAATTAAGCAGTACAGTTGGGAGGACTGGCCGTGGGAAGGACCGATGACGACCGGCCACATGGGCGGCACTTCAGCACGCTTGGTGGGGATCCTAAACGTTGGTTCTCAGAGTGGCTGCACTCGAAGGGCATCCAAAAGTCTGATCGCGTCGCTCATGAAATGCGATGCTTAATCGAATGCATCTAGACTGAAGGAACACACGATCAGTTGAACTTGTCGTCATTATCCGTTGCAGAAGCGAGATAGACTTCAAGCGGTCATCGATGCATATGTGGCAGGAGGGGCCAGTGGCCCTGGCTGGGCAAGCGCCAAGATAATCACATCTTGCAGAAGACGCCATCTCGTCGAAACAGGGAGGAGGTTGAGCTCACTCAGTCGAAAGTCAAAATCCAGCAGCATCGACGCAGACTCCCGGTGACGAGAGGCGACGCGGCATCAGTGGTTGCAGATGGATCACTTCCCAAGCCGGTTCCTACAGCCAGTGCCAAACGTTGGCGGCCTGCAGCTTCGAGCGCATCTCCTTCTCATCCTCACTAGCGGACAGTGGGTCGGATGAGGAGACCCGTCGATACTTGCAGTGCACAGAGCACATGCTAAACCTTATTGGAAGTTCAAAACGTTTATGTGATCGGAGATTCGTGATCAGCTGTGCGAATGCCAAGTACAGCTGGATACCCGCTTTTGTGTGGTGCTTCACGATCTATCCTGCACATGCGCTTCCGACCTATGAAGCACAAGGCTCAAACAGCCGGGGTGGTTCCCTGTCACAACAACCTCGCGATGCGAGACACACCTTCGCAGCGCTTGAGAGATGTATGTATGTATGTATGTATGTATGAGTGCGTATGTATGAGTGCGAACGTAAGTAAGTAAGTATGTATGTTTGTATGCGTATGTAAAGTAAGTATGCATGTACGAATGCATGTCTATATGTAGGCAGCCATGCAGTCAGAGGCAGGTAGACAGGGAGCTAGGCAGTATGCATTTGCATGCATGTATGTATGCATGGATGGACGGGTTTATGGACTGATGGACGGTCGGACGGATGGGATGGATGGATGGATGCAATTTATGTATGTCCCTACGTGTGTCGGTATGAATGAATGCCACGCATGCATGGATGTATGTATGTCTGTATGTCTGCCGGTACACATACACACATCTATGCATACAAAACACATAAACATAGACGTTGTCCGCACGTGCATGTGCAGATACATTCGAGAGATAGATAGCTCGCTAGCTAGCCAGCTGGCTAGCTAGACAGCTAGGTGAGTGGGTGAGTGGGTAGGTAGGTAGGCAACGAGATAGATAGCTAGACAGACAGAGAGACAGCGGGTAGAGAGACAGAAAGATGGAGATATGTGCCGGACTGGAGCCTTGAGCGGGTAGGCCTTCGGGCGAGGGGGCTTCAGCCTTCACACCCGTCAGCAAGCAAGCACGCAAGAT